CAAGATTCAGAGACTCAATAGACTATTCTGGTCCGTTGTCTTCGACTCAGCTAACTCGATCAAGAAGTCTTGGTAAGGCATAGGAAGTGTATTCTACAAGCAACAGCAGATACCAAGCCAGGTCAGGCAGATCAGATCAAGCATACAAGTCAAGCGTATTTATGCAAATATATATCGATTTTGTCATAGGAAATTTTTAAACAATATTCAATGAGTCATCAATTGTCTGCTATTTAAAAATTTAATCGGTAAGTTCATCAACTGACTGCCATTCAAATATTTAAACATTTAATCGATATGATAAAATTACAAAATATGAGTTTGGGGATATATCGGCCCCAACAGTTCTATAATACCTTACATAGCCAATATACTCTGTGACGAACAGGTTGTCAGAGTTAGTCTAGTCAACATATCTTTAATATGGAAAGTTGTACAGTTTTTCGAATTCTTTAACTCTGTTTCCTTTTCGTTTCTGTCTTTTTTTGTATAAGAAACTTGTCGAATCACCTTGTACCGAAAATTCTATATTATACCTAAATGTAATATTGAATAAAGTCGTTTATAACAATAACATTGAATTACTGACTGAATGTGTCCTTTCCATATTTGAAACATTTAGCAGTTCGTAATGCACATGAATCGCGAGAACGAGATTTGCCATAGGATAAGCATTTACCAAACTTTCACTTCGTTGAATCGCATTTCAGATTTTTACAAAAACATGAATCACTATTAAACAAACGCAAGCCTGATGGACCCTGAGATCGCATCTCATTATAACGATTGAACAAAGGTTTAGAAATGTTCGATGGAAGATCAAGTTTATTCATTGCTTTGGAGTTGACACGCGCTGTTTGGCATTCTTAATAACTATCTTTCTAGATTTAGTATGTTAATTCCTGCAAATAATCGATCCCTCAGCTGCACACGAAGTTGATCATCTAACTTGCACTTGGCAGCTTGTCTTTACAATTCAAGAATGAATTCCCTCTTGCCCCTGACCGATCTCTCTGGTTTTCTATATTTCGTTGCGTCACATTTCCTTTTCTTGTAGCTCTTTCTGCTGTAGTTGCTAGTTCCTCCACGTATTTCTGCTTGTCGGCTTTACTGCTATTTTTCATGTGCTTGTTTGCTTCTGTGTACTCAGCCTTTGCCTTGAATATCTCTGCTCGTGTTCGGCTGTTGTTAGTTGCTGTCTTCTGTTGAAAACTTTTCCTGGTACTGACAGTGATGTGATACCTCTGAAGTTCTCACATTTGCTCGGATCTCCTTTCTTTGGTACTGATGAGATGTGCTTCTTTCCACTTCGTCGGCACGTAGCTTTATGCATACGTTTGTGGTGACTATGGTGCCAACTATAACTACTTTGTTGAATGCACGTAAATTTGCAAATCTGTCACCATTCTAGTTTCTCTCTCGCAGTTCATGTCGTCTCATGATATCTTCATATCCGGTGTTGTTCTTCCCGACTTTGGCGTTTCTTTCTCCCATCAGGATAGTCAGTTTATTTCCTGAATACTTCGCTGTGATTGATTGCAGCCTCTCATAGAACTGATCTTTGTTGTCGTCGTTGCTATCATTGGTGGGTGCATAAGATCGGATAACATTCATTGTGATCCCCTCATTCTTTGTTTTGCATGATGCTTTGATAATTCTGGATCCGTGAAATTCCCATCCTACAAGTGCATTTCGTGCTTCTTTGGACAGCATTAGAGCAATTCCCTGAGTGCGTGGAGCATTTTCCTCTTCGTGACCGGAGTACAGCAGCATCTCTCCCGTATCTAGCCTTTGCTGTGCAGCTTGACTTCAGTGGGTTTCGCTGATTCCAAGTACTGCCAATTTGTATCTCCTTATTTCCGTTGTTATTTGACTGGTCCTCACGACCTCTCACATTGTCCGGACGTTCCATGTCTCATATAGTGTGTTGATGCGCATGGTTTGTTAGAGGAGCGTATGACACGCAACTGTATCATCTTATTGAATTTGTTCTTTGTGACAGCGAGACGAAAGAGGTCAATGCGTCTTCGAAATGCGAATTCCTGTGATACCTCTGTTTTAATGTGGTGTGTGTGTCGGTTTGTCATGTTTGAAACGCCGTCGTAATAAATCTGGAAACTGATTAAGTAAATTGGTGTATTTATCATTCTCATAATGAGGTTTTATTAATAAATGTATGGACGTCTCCATAGATATGATTTCTTTAGTTTCTCTGCTATGACCGATATATACAAATTTCCGGTTTCTATCACCAACGAATATTTTATTGAGTTGCAGAAAATCAACGCTGGTTATGGGAATATGGACGTCGGCTACGATGAGGCCTCAGAAAGTTAGATTTGGGACCGAAATGTAACTTTGGTTGCATTTTACTGCATGTCTTGATCTCAGATCTATTCGCGGCTTGCAGTTTTAGTTTAAGGTCAGGTGTGTTTTTCTCAATCGTAAGCGCTGGTGCTACACTACCCTCTGCTCCAATGTCGACCAGGAACTTTGTTCCGGTATTTTTGCCTGCGACGTATAACAAACGACTGTCTTGAGCGTTTCGGCCGGCTCTGGCGTTCCTTTTGCCGTGTGCTTGCAAATTTGCAGGGAGGAGTACACTTCTTGGCTTGTTTACTGTACTTTCTATGATACCAACAAATGTTATGTCCAGTGGTGCTTGGACTACGACGTCTACGGCTTCCTAGCCTTCCTCTACAATTGCAGTGAAGGGTATTCAAAAATTAGAGCCGGGCTATCTGTTTTATGAGGACGTTGACTGTTTGCCGTAACTCTGTGATCTTGTCAGTTGAGTTTCTTTGCATGTGTAATACCGAGTGAGTCCTAGTTCACTCAAGGTTCTATCGGCTATGTCAGCTGGCCTATCAAAATTGACATCTTCGTCTCTAGTTGCTAGTATCTGTTGGACGTTTCGCGGGCGACGTCCGAGCCGTGATCAATATAATAGACGTTTATATACTATACAATCCCATAATACATTTGTCATGTGGGGTTTTAGTTTATAAGGTGTGCTGTCACCTAACTCTACATCGGCTTAAAGTTGATCGCTTGTCTGCTGGTCGGTGAGAGGTGTAACACGAATTTCTTCTCTTTTTAGGCAATCGTACGGTGAATCTGGATCCAGCTTAAAAATGATGCTAGGTACTTGTTCAATAACGCCGTCCGGCAGCAATGGGTCTGCGTAACTAGATTTTGTGCTCTAACTTTTGATTCTATTTGCAACAAAAATGTTTTCTAAGAGTGCAAACCAGATTTCAGTCTCTTGAGGGTTACAGACAGGTAAAGGTACAGAGGTGGCATCCTCGGAGATAGACTTAGATGAAAGACTTGGTAAATTATCAATTTACATCATACGAAGTGTTAACAATAGTAATAGTAATAAGCTTAGGATCGAAATATACAGTATGAAGAAATAAATAAAAATAAGAAACCTACATGAGAGATCCACCGAAAAAATACTGTCACTTTGGGTTTAAATATGCGAATATACAGCAATAATTGCGATAGAACAATGTTATAGATGAATTTATCATGACTGTCAGTGAATTATTAATAATTGTAATAGTAATTCCAATGTGACGTTCGTTGTTATATGATTGGAGAATATACAAAAGGCTTTGTAGAGAATGGTGCGTGCTCCAAATGCGGCTCACCAACTGTGTGCAGGTAATTTTACTCTATATCTGACTCCAATAAATAATATCTCGTCAACCGAGTAAATAACTCAGGCTAAATCTTCCAGCAGAATTATGGATTTACTTGAGATCAGTCAATATGTGGTGGACCAAACAATATATGAACTCAAAAATAACAACAGAGTTATTAAGTAGAAATAGTAATGTTAATATACATCAGTTAAATGTTATAAACACAACAAAAATTAGAGACGTTACTTAATTCAGCAGGTTTGTGCGTGTTCTGATTGAGTCTGGTACCAAACGTCCACGATTATAGATTGATTGAAGATCCCAGTAAGGTTGATGTCCTCCCAGTGGTATAACCAAATGTAGAATATGATATATTCAGATTATAGTCTATAAATATAGACAGTATCCGATTTAGAGTTCAGTTAACACACTCACGAGAAAATGGAGAACAAGAGGTGTGTATAGCAGTGTATTTGTTACCAGTTAACAGAGTGTGTCATGCCATGAATTTAACACGACGGAAAAAAGTGTGTCCAAGGACATACACTTAAACAACACGTACAATCATTGAGTGGTAAATGTACATGCAGTAAAAAATTGACAGAATAAATACAAACAACATCAAAAACTATTTACAAAATAAGCTTATCAGGCCTATCTCCACAAATAGCCCGGACACCAGTTATAGAGAGAGTTTGTTGTTAAAGACAAGTAAAATCCGCTAACGTGCAGGAAGCAAGCACAGAGGGAAAACGTGTGTGTGTGTGAGCTAAAAATCCATATATATCTATGAGTGTTAGTCGATTGTGGGTAAATTATTGATTGTCTTCGCTTACAGCCAGCGAGGGAGTAGATTAAAGATTGATGTACAAACACACGCTCAATCAGACTCACACATAATTTTTACGCAGTGGATTAAGTGTCTTAATTACAGTGAGTAGACAAATAATAACGTAGTTGAAATAGCATACTACAGAGGCATCGGCCTCGTGACTTCAAAAGACTCTCGGCTTCAATCATGAGGCATCATAATCATTCATCCAACCCACAGGGTAGAGTTTAAACGGTTTATTTGATTTGTTTAATCTGGCTGGCGTTTTTTGGCAAGATTTTTTTACGAGATGCGGTCGCTAACCCCATACTCAACCCACCTCCTTTACCTGAGCTTAGGACCGGCAATAACTCTAGAAGAGCTACAGGCATAGCTGAAGGGCGAAAACTGGATTTACTAACCTTATGATCCTACTGAGGCACATATAAACGATTAAAAACTTACAGAGTCTCACTAACTTGGTGATGCGTGCTTTCAAAGAATCTTCTGTCAGGACGGTTTTAGTAGCAGATTACACACTGTAGATCAGCAACGTAGATGACCTATATCGAGATGACTGGAGGCCTACTCGAGTTAGACGTGAATGGTGTGACGAACCAATTAACGTCGAAGTCACACCTCGTGGTCAGCACCTTACGTGGACTACCCCCATTGACGTATCAAGGTACAATAGATGCTTTGAAGACTGTACAACACAGAGGTTATTACAGAAATATATTAGTTAAAGTAGATACAAGCGAAAGTAAGACCACTGCCACATGGGCCAGTCCACCGCATACGATTAACTAATGTGCGTTGGTTGTACATGACCTTGGCAGGGAGCGATGATCTGTTCGACATTCAGTGATCCAACTGCCGGATGATTTGGCTAGGGCTCTGTGACATTTCACTGACTCTACAACACTGATATTGTGAATGCCGTTTATCTTGAACTTTGTTTAACAGAAAGCCTTTTATAAATCATTTTCACAGTTCAATTCCATCCTAATCAAGTAGCATCTTCTGCACCAGTTGCTGCGTTCTGAAACTTTGAATTTGGGACTTTGCGCCAAGTCGAAACTGTGGTTATGGCGGGTCCTGAAATTACTAAAAATTCCATTAGACATCATGTCCACGCTTTGTCCAAAATGTTTGGGTTTGTCACTCCTATATGCTACTCACTCCCAACAGTATTGATTTGATGTATGATCCAAATGTGTATGCGTTTGCAGACAGTCTAGAAAAGAGCATTGATAGTTCGGCTGATACTCAGGTAAAAAAACTGCCAAGTTTAATAAAGTAGTACAACATTCATGATTTAGTTACCAGACTTTGCAGCGATAACCCACAATACGATGCATTTTTACGGCGGTATGAAGAGTTGAAACCTAGAAAGTTAGCACAGTCCTTAAAATTACTGGGAATTTTAGCATTAGGGAACTTTCCGCTGTTGTTTATCTGTTATCAAAGCTGAAGTCGGACGACGCTATACTCAGAAGTTTAGAGTATCTTCCTTTGTCTACTAAGCCTCTTAATGGCCAAAGCAAAGTCTCTACTACTCCCGTTTGTGGGAAGGTAAGCTCACATCATACAACTTATTTTGTTCAATTCTTTCTCACTAATGACATTTTGCTTTATATTTTAAGTTTTTTGATGGAAAAAAGTGGAGCGCTTAACTAGAATTATCAATTATTTGTGTGCTACTGAAAATCTATTTTGGGTTGTAGTTTTATGTCATCCCAGGCATCCTTCTGTTAATGTTGACTCGTAATCTTTCGACCGTCTTTAATTTACCCTTTAGTAAAGTTTGTGCGTTTTATTGGTCTTCACATCAGTTATTGTTTTTTGTCAACCCAGTAGACTATGATAATGACAGGTATCCGTTTATTTTCTGTATTGTAGCTTAGTTATATGACCTACTTGTAACGAATGAACTTTAGTTTGGGAATGACCGTTAAATGGAAATACTACGTCACCCCCGCCTATGAGATTCCTCCCAGTTAATCCAACCTTTAAGTGCGTTGAAAGGAGCTGTAGTCAAGTGTAAAGGTCCTGACCGTTGCTGCTACCTTGTAGTAGTCGGGCTTGCCTCTCGTGATGAGCCGTTCGGGCTATACTGGTTGGAACAACCGTTCTTTAAGGTTCTACCATACCAGGCAGATTGGTTGAAGAGCCGTAAAACTAAAAGCGGCAAACCCAAGGTCCGAAGGCGAAGTTGTAATGGTGACTTCACAGTACTGTGATGGAAATAAGGTGTTTGCCTCAGAACCAACATGACAGCGATGCTTTCTTCCTACAAAGAAATGGGTTATGCACACCTCGCTTTATAACACGGATATCCGTCTCCGGCCATAAGGTCTCAATAAGTACGGAGCTAACACAAAAATTACCCATAAAAAGGTCGTGTGTGACCGACCTCAAGTAGTTGTCCCTTGGGTACTGCGGTCACGCTCCCAGGTCACTAAGACCACCTCTAATCCAATGTCCTCTTCAGGTATATGCAGAACAACCCTTCCACGATGTGGGCAACCGGGAAGTGATAACCGCCATCATACCTCTAACAGCACTCAAGCCCACTGTATTCATAATCAATTTCCCTCTTCAATTCCCTTTAATCATCCTACCTTAACTTCAAACCCCACACTTCCTCCTTAACTGTCATCATGGTGAACGATTCTAGTGCGCGAAGTTTTGTATCAAGTCTACTGAAAGCTTGCTACAAACTACACATTGCAGCTTTCGACGTCCGCACCGTATGTCAAATCGGTCAGCAGAACTCCTTAGCTAAGACACTAGAATATTGTACGATTGATGTACATGCATCCAAGATCCTAGTGTTCTCATTCATTTGCCTTCACCTCGCAAAAACGGAAAGCCGACGAGATATACCCTCTGTGTATCTGGTGACCTGATGGCAAGTTCTCGTGGACTGACGAGTGTAGGCATAACATCAAGATGGCTAAACAAGCACTCCCATCAGGATGGTCAGTTTATTTCCTGAATACTTCGCTGTGATTGATTGCAGCCTCTCATAGAACTGATCTTTGTTGTCGTCGTTGCTATCATTGGTGGGTGCATAAGATCGGATAACATTCATTGTGATCCCCTCATTCTTTGTTTTGCATGATGCTTTGATAATTCTGGATCCGTGAGATTCCCATCCTACAAGTGCATTTCGTGCTTCTTTGGACAGCATTAGAGCAATTCCCTGAGTGCGTGGAGCATTTTCCTCTTCGTGACCGGAGTACAGCAGCATCTCTCCCGTATCTAGCCTTTGCTGTGCAGCTTGACTTCAGTGGGTTTCGCTGATTCCAAGTACTGCCAATTTGTATCTCCTTATTTCCGTTGTTATTTGACTGGTCCTCACGACCTCTCACATTGTCCGGACGTTCCATGTACCTATGAAAATTGTTGCTCTGGTTGTTAAAAGGGGCATCGGCCTCGTGATTTCAGAAGAATCTCGGCTTTCATCCTGAGGCGCCATAATTATTCCTTCAACTCCCAGGGTAGAGTTTGAATGGTTTGATTTGTTTAATCTGGTTGTTTTTTAGCAAGATTTTTTTCTGCCCTCCTCTTTTACTTGAGCTTGGGACCAGCAGTAACTTTAGAAGTGCTACAGTCGAAGTTAACAATGAGAAAACCAAAGATCAATTCCGTGAACTACTTACGCATTTCGAAAAGCGAAGCTGACCCAGATGTTGCTTGCGAATATTTTGGATTAGTTGTGGAAATAGCAGCGACGTCTATTGTTGATTTGAACCAAGTGGTGACGAAAATCCATATGATTTATTTGACATCTGTCACACTGATAGACTCTCGTAAACTTTTCTCATGATGCTCCGAGTATGATGACGAGCAAAATCAAATCAGATCTAGGTTAACCAAAAGTCTAGAGAACGATCGTCAGCAGTGACTGGGCAACGAAAGCAGAAGAAATAGAAAAGGCATCGGCTGTAGGTAACCCAAAACAGCTTTTCAGACTAATAAAAGAAACTGAAATTAAGAATTCATTTGTAAGTGAGACGATCTCAGAAAAGGACGATACTTATCTGCTCTCAGCTCAGACGTTTAGAACGATGGGCGAAACACTAAGGAGCAGTTCAGCTGACCTTCAGCTACTCTACAACTGTTCACCATTCCAAAACAGCCTGAATAGAACACTGAACTAGGTCTCTCGACTCTAGTTGAAGTTCAAAAAGCTATAGCCAATCTGAACGAGCAAGAGCGTCTAGTTCAGATGCATTGGCTCCAGAGGTCTTTAAGAATACTGGTCCAATTGTAGCGATTAGGTTGACTAATAGTTTAGCTAAAGTATGGGAGTTAGACGTAATCCCATCTGGCTGGTCACAATCACTGATTGTCCCAATATATAAGAGAGGGTTAAAATCATCCTGTGATAACTATAGAAAGACTAGTTTAACTAGTATAGTATTTAAAATACTAGCCTCAATAATTATCGGGCGCTTAGCAATTACTTGTGAATTGCAAACACGAGAAAATCAGGCTGGTTTCAGGACTGGTCGTGGCTCTAATGAGCTGGTGTCTGACGAAATCTCAGCACGGATTCAGAAAGCTCATTTGGCTTTTGCGAACTTAATTTACCTATGGTAAAGGCTAGATATCCGTCTATCAATGGAAGGACGAGTATACTGCGCAGCAGTTCGTTGTTTTACTTTACGGCTACGAAACGTGATCATTAAGAGTAGAAGATACTCGTGAGTTACTAGCAGTAGTCCAGTTGTAGTTGGATGAAGATCGTACAGTGTCAAGAATTTCTTAACTATGCTACCTTCCAAAGTTCCTTAGATCCTCTCACCACTCGTATTTTTTGTGCGATGTGTTTTTTTGTACACGTTAAAACGTGTTTTTCAAGTATGATGAATGTCTTTCAGGATATAACACATCTTCAACATGTGAATGACGAGTCTTGTACACAAGGATCAAGTTCAGAGCAACCAGCCAGGAATGATAGTCTGAGACCCATGTTTGGTGCTTCAGATGAATTATCTTTGTTTTCACCCTGTGGTGTTGGCGCACATTCCAGTTCATTTGTTCAGGCTTCCAAGAATACATCTAAAAAGTTGGTTTCTAGCAACGCAGTCCAACCTCCAACATTTCCTCTGCAACCTGAGTGGATATACTCACGCGGGACGCTTTGGGATGACTTCCTGTCGATTTCACTTAATTCAGAAGTGAGTCTTAGTGTGTTAAGGGTTTTCCATGTGTTAGTTCTCGTGTTTATGATGAAATTTATTTAGTGCTCCCCCTAAAAGTCGAAGTCGTTAAATTTAGTCTAGTCTTAAAGCAAATGCACTATATTTTTTAGTATTGGTAATTGATGGCCAGATGTGTCACCATGCCTGTATCTTGTTTTAATCAGTCTTTCAAAAATCATTGGATTTTCAGGCAGTCGGCTCACAGAATGCTTTTACTTGTATACGTCAGCGATTTGCAACCGTGAATAAATGAAGACCAAATAAAGTGACATGTCGTTACCTTATTACTTTGAAGTCCTAAATATTGCTTCTTATTGTATTCTGGCTCGATGATGATCAGATTATTTGAACAGTCGTAACTAATTCAAAGTTTAGCTATTAATTTAACAAGAATGATTAGCTGACTATCCAACTTGACATTTCTATAAATCGATGATTTAAAAGTACTGTAAAATTTACTGCCCATTATTTAAGGATCATTTAGCTTCTGTATACATACTTCAATATTTGTACACATCTTTTTGTGCTACGTGTTCATATCTAATCTACTTCAGGTACAATCTGTTACAAACTAACGAAGTTGGTTCTGTTTTTGTTGATATAAACGACTGAAAACCGCCCTTATTTGCTAAAGTCCATTCGTCATTCGTGGTGTCTAATTAGTTAATTTTATTATAACGTTCTTTTTCATTATTTGTTCCCTTCATATTGCTTTTTTGAATCCATAAGAGATTGAACTAATGTTTCGTACAAGGCCTTTAATGTAACCGACTGAATCCAGTTAAATAAAGTTATGTTTAAAAACCCTCCCTGGCGATTTTCGGTTGTTGTGGGCATTAGATTTCGGCTGAAAAGTTCATTAATAAAGAATGTATGACAGTTGAGTGAAGGGTTAACTTCATTGATGTGTTATCAGTTACATAGCTAATTTCGGGTTGTTTGTGATATGTTCGTGCACTAAGGTAAGATTTCGTAACTCTGACTTCAATAATGAACGAGACTACTTCCATCGTTTTTCTCCATCCCCCTTTGTCTGAGATAAAAAGTCTGAATTCTTAACTGAAGCTTTATTGATGATAACCCTAGTATAATTAAAAATACATGTTATTCCGTTATACATTGATTACAATGATCAGTATTTATAAACTGAGTAATTGTTATTTAACACAGTAAAACTACATTAGAAGTTCATAAAGTAATGTGTTGAAAGTTGACCTTCCACTCACCTTAAATCGATATTGATTTCCTTCCTTATAAGTTGTAGTGCTTGGTGTAGTTCGTTTAAAGTATATAATTTCGCGAATAATGTTGATAGTATAAACTTCCTGTAGTTGTGTGACGCATTTATCTGATAGGGTATGTACTCAAGGTCTGGATTCACTTACTTAGCTTATTTGAGATTTTTGATTTGTATATGCAGAAATCACTATTCATTAACTTGTAAATTTTACTCGTTTGCTTTTCCCTTAAGTCTTTCCAGCAACTCCCCATCGAATCTCTTTCAAATGCTGTCCAGGAATACGCTGTTGTTAGCGATCTACTACAGTGTTTGCAAGTAAATTTCATTTTAATCTATTTGTTTTATATAAACACAAATAATAGGTCTATTCATTCCAAATTATACTGCTCTTTTATTTATTTTTTTTGTCGCAATTAAATTAAGAATTACTCCTAAGTTTTCTTAAACATTTCAGGGTAACCAAGGAGTTTACATCAAACCTCTGCCTTTATCGAGTCGTTACGCAGTCCGATGTTTTAAAGTAGATGAAAAAATGAGTACGTCTGTTTTACGTTCATATGTTCATTCCGTGAAGATATCTGTAGTTAGTGATATTCACTAATTCTATTAGAAAGATTTTATCATAGTATTTTTCATCGCTAATGTGACTAATGCTCAGCTCTCTAGTCAGTAGAACACTTACCTAATATCTGGGTGTACCATGTTTAACTATATTTAAATGTCTAAGTTATTACGTTTCTGTTGTATGGACAAAAGTTCGTGTGACTGTTTACGGCTTGTAAATCTTACAAAAATCTTTTTGAAAGTCAAGTAAGATGTTCGCTGATGGTTAATAATTTGACCTCGTACTCGTAAAATTACTTCCAGTGTTTCTAAATAGTGTAGGTGAGCTGTCTCTAAAAAATATTTGGTCTGCCTATTACTCCTTCTAGGAGTACATTGTGTTAGGATCTATTACTTTATCAAGTGAAGTAACTTCTTCAGACTGAAAAATGAATCTGGTGCGCATCATCATTGTGCATGGTCATTTCAGAGTCCGAAGGAATTTGTAATTAGTATACACAGAAACTCATTCAAAACTCCATGACATTGTTCAGAAGGTCAAGGAATTTCTACTGCCAACCTTTCCAGAACATAGGGCATCCATCCAAGTCTATGGAGAAGTTTAAAATAACTGGATACTTCATTGTCAAAAAAACACTTCAAGTAATATATCAAGTCGCTACTTTCTATCAAGAAAGAGTTTAGATCTTGTTTGCCAGAGAATAATTCAATTTTCTAGTTTCTGCTAAATATGGGCTATATCTTCGTATGGGTTGCATAGGTTGTGCCGAATATGGATTTTCTTGGGAACTTTAGACTACGGTCGGTTAGTATAGACCCTCTTGTTTAGGTTTTAGAAAGTTTATTTTTGGAAAGCACCAACTTTATATATATATACAACTTCGACTGTAGCACTTCTAAAGTTACTGCTGGTCCCAAGCTCAAGTAAAAGAGGAGGGCAGAAAAAAATCTTGCTAAAAAACAACCAGATTAAACAAATCAAACCATTCAAACTCTACCCTGGGAGTTGAAGGAATAATTATGGCGCCTCAGGATGAAAGCCGAGATTCTTCTGAAATCACGAGGCCGATGCCCCTTTTAACAACCAGAGCAACAATTTTCATAGGTACATGGAACGTCCGGACAATGTGAGAGGTCGTGAGGACCAGTCAAATAACAACGGAAATAAGGAGATACAAATTGGCAGTACTTGGAATCAGCGAAACCCACTGAAGTCAAGCTGCACAGCAAAGGCTAGATACGGGAGAGATGCTGCTGTACTCCGGTCACGAAGAGGAAAATGCTCCGCACACTCAGGGAATTGCTCTAATGCTGTCCAAAGAAGCACGAAATGCACTTGTAGGATGGGAATCTTACGGATCCAGAATCATCAAAGAATCATTCAAGACAAAGAATGAGGGGATCACAATGAATGTTATCCGATCTTATGCACCCACCAATGATAGCAACGACGACAACAAAGATCAGTTCTATGAGAGGCTGCAATCAATCACAGCGAAGTATTCAGGAAATAAACTGACTATCCTGATGGGAGAAAGAAACGCCAAAGTCGGGAAGAACAACACCGGATATGAAGATATCATGAGACGACATGAACTGCGAGAGAGAAACTAGAATGGTGACAGATTTGCAAATTTACGTGCATTCAACAAAGTAGTTATAGTTGGCACCATAGTCACCACAAACGTATGCATAAAGCTACGTGCCGACGAAGTGGAAAGAAGCACATCTCATCAGTACCAAAGAAAGGAGATCCGAGCAAATGTGAGAACTTCAGAGGTATCACATCGCTGTCAGTACCAGGAAAAGTTTTCAACAGAAGACAGCAACTAACAACAGCCGAACACGAGCAGAGATATTCAAGGCAAAGGCTGAGTACACAGAAGCAAACAAGCACATGAAAAATAGCAGTAAAGCCGACAAGCAGAAATACGTGGAGGAACTAGCAACTACAGCAGAAAGAGCTACAAGAAAAGGAAATGTGACGCAACGAAATATAGAAAACCAGAGAGATCGGTCAGGGGCAAGAGGGCAAGCTAATCATGGAGACTCGAGAACAGAGGAACAGATGGGTAAAATACCTCGAGGAACTGTTGAATAGACCAGCTCCATTGAATCCACCGGTCATTGAAGCAACACATACAGATATTCCTATTGATGTCACTCCATCAACGATCGAAGAAATCAGGATGTCCATCAGACAAATCAGGAGTGGGAAAGCAGCAGGACCTGACGATATACCAGCTGCAGCACTGAAGTCAGACATTGAAGTAACTACAACCATGTTTCACCTTCTATTCAAGGAGATTTGGGAGGAGGAGTATGATAAAGCTTTTGACAGCGTGGGCAGGAGAATATTATGGAAAATTATTCCACACTATGGAGTTCGAGAAAATTGTTAACACTATCCGGCACTCATACGACGGACTACAGTGCAAATTGGTTCATGGATGACAGCTGATAAATGCATTCCAAGTAAGGACCGGAGTCAGATAAGGCTGATTACTCTCGCCCTCTCTTTTCCTTATAGTGGTTGACTGAATTATGAAGACCCCGACATCTGAGGGGAAGCACGGAATACAATGGACAGCTCAGAATCAATTAGACGATTTGGACTTCGCTGATGACCTAGCCCTCCTATCCCATACACACGAACAAATGCAGATAAAGACAACTAGTGTAGCAGCAGCCTCTACATTAGTAGGCCTCAACATACATAAAAGAAAAAGCAGGATCTTCAAATACAATACGAAGAGCACCAACCCAATCACACTTGATGGAGGAGCTATGGAAGATGTGGAATCTTTCAAGGACGAGAAGGATCTGATGCAGAAGTAAAGGCGAGGATTGGCAAAACAAGGTCCGCATTCCTACAACTGAAGAACATATGGAACTCAAAACAATTTTCAACCAATATCAAAGTGAGAATCTTCAATACGAACGTCAAGGCAGTTCTACTGTATGGAGCTGAAACTTGGAGAACTACAACAACCACAATCAAGAAAGTACAAGTATTTATAAATAGCTGTCTACGCAAGATACTCAACATCCATTGGCTGGATAACATCAGCAATAGCCTTCTGTTGGATAGAACAAACCAACTTCCAGCTGAAGAAGAAATTAGGAAAAGACGATAGAAATGGATAGGATATACATTACAGAAATCACCAAACTGCAATGCGAGGCAAGCCCTAACTTGGAATCCTGATGGGAAGCGGAAAAGTGGAAGGCCAAAGAACACATTACGTCGGGAAATAGAAGCAGATATGAAAAGGATGAATAAAAACTGGAAAGGATTGCCCAGGACAGGGTTGGATGGAGAGTGCATGTGGGCGGCCTATACTCCTCTATGAGGGGTAGCAGCATAAGTAATATATAAAATCTGCTACCAACCTCCTCCTGCAACACAAGCCTGTATTCAAATTAATAATGTTGCGAGTAGTTATTTACGATCAAAATATGTACGGATATGGGTTCTTTTTAGATTGCTGTTTGGATTCTGGTCGTCCTCTTGTGTGCCTCAAACTCATTTCTCCTTTTAGCAAATTTTTCCAAGACGTATTGATTTAAGGGAATTGATTCTATCAACTATTAGATCCAAGTGTCAAATGGAAAATTAGATTTCAACTCAGTGGAAAGTATAAAAAAGATTGAGTAAATTTGCCAGACCCCATGATGATGCGTCAGTCAGTAATCTTCAGAGCGTTTGAATTGCTAAGCAGAGCGCTCGAAAGGATAATTTACCTATCTACCCAATTACCGCAACAACTTTGATAAATGTGTCATGTACTCTTTGGTCAAATACTACTGACTCACCCAAGAAGGTCGAGTTTTAGATGAACCTTCAACCTCTGAAACATCACAAATCATTAGGTCCAAACGACCCTACTTTTCTCATGGATAGTGATGAAATTATGATGAGAGAACTGTCTTGATTGTTTAACAAGGTTCAGTAGACACCCATCATCCTAAAATGAAGCAATTGTGACACCTATACTTGGAAAGAACATAAATAAGACACGTGATTATAGACATCTCTCTTTGATCCTATTCAAATTATTAACCTTCATAGCTATGTGAGCGCTGGTGATATGGTAAATAGAATCAATATACGTGTAGTACACTCTATCATTGTTTGTGTTCATCACTATAACGTTTGATGCTATCCTGATGTTCTTCTGGTCGTTCCACTTGATTTTTGCTTATCTCGTTTGCGTTCTTTGCTCACTATTGTTCATAATAATTGCGTAAACTTCTATTCTGTCTATTTCTTCCCAATGGAATGGATTTCTAATTTAGTAGAAACTTGTGAAATCGATTAATCTTTTCTAACTGTTTTGGTTAGGTTCTGAAAGTAATCATTACTGTTTTTATAGCACCAAGTGTAACGTTACTGTAGACTGTTGTAATCTGTGACTCCGATGCAATCATAGTATACACACATTGTCCAAAGGCTCACATAAATTTCTATTCAAGGGAAAAGACTGAAATTGATTAGGGAGTGTTAATACAAAATCAAATAATCTGCATATAGTTCATAAGTGTATGTGTGTCACTGATATGGAAGCAGTGACTTTTGCTAAATAAATAGTACCTATTCCCGTCGGATGCTTCGTTTATACTTCTAACTTACCGGTGGCTTTGAGACATATGACCGGCCCTTGCAAACCACTTGCTTATGCTCAGCCGATTAAGTGCTTAGGTACTTAGAAACACCTTTAATATTCCCATAATCTAACTAAGCTTTGAATCTTGTTGCAATTTTACTGCATCCAATAAAGCACATATAATTTTGCAAGCTCATCCGTCAACAGAAATTCAGTTCAGGAGTGCCTGTTCTATCTTTAAAATTAATATCATCCGTACTTCAACAAAACCACAAAAGTTGACGTCAATTTTTCAATTACCCAAAGGATAAACCATCCTGGACCTTCATATTGTCAGTGGGATCAAATGAATCACCATGCTTGGCTTGTGTGTTCGGGTTTTGGGGGTACAGTATGTTAATAGTGCAAAATTTAGACGTACAGACTAGTATAGTATGTCCGGCATGAAAAGGTTCAAACACCGAAGGCTACTAATAAAGTTTGGAGTCCGGTTTCAAGGGACTACAGGTAACATTTTTTAAGCTTGAATTGTTAGTGTTTGTTGCGCATAGAATGAAAACAGAGGAATGGTCGGTAATTGGAATAAGTCAGGCACTAAAAGGAGAAGGGGTTTGACTAAAAATAAGGTAAATTTGGGTTGAATTGTGGTTTATGAGAGGATAAAACTTCTCGTTTATTTACACCAAAGAATATTCTTTTTCCAAGCCCTAAAATGGATTAGTAATAGTGGTTTTGTCGATCTGGCAGCGTAACCATGGAGTTCAGTCGCACGACTTATTTGTGATATGTTTTTTGTGGTATGAACTCCGTGTTTTCATCTGGTTCCTAATGTCCATGAGACAAGAGACTTTTTATTTAAACACAAACGTTGATATAACGAGGCACCAAATATAGATGCACCACACTTCGTCATCTGATTTCTATGAGGACTGGAATACTGCCAGGGCGCCCAAACTGAGGCAGGTGGTTTTCTTAGGGGGCCACCTTTCGAGCCTTTGACTTAGAGGTCCCATCCACAAGGCAGTGGAACAACGTTAGGCGGTGCAGTCCCATGGTAATTGGGTGGCCAATAATAGGTTCGTACGCCGTTTCGTTTCCTCAGGACCCTGGAGCCTATGTGCACCCGTGGTTTGGAATCAGGATTTTCCAATCCCCCAAGTGGATCTCTCGTGTCCACTGACTCGGTTAAGGTGTCGGACATTCACCTTTTGTCCTTTCAGTTTCGTAAACACCACCATCATCGAGTAAGTAACACAGTTGTTAGGAAACGGGTACTAGGTAAGGATGGCAAATCAATTGATGAAGTAGTGAAACTTCATCAGTTGAGATGGCTGGGACACGTGTTACGTATGCCCAACGACCGAATGCCTCGACGTGCTATGTTCAATGGTATAGGAGTAGGTTGGAAAAAAGCTAGGGGCGGCCAAACCAAAACATGGCACAAGTCCATTAAGTCACTGACAAGTAGACTGCGTCATGTTGGTAGGTGTAGACTACCTGGTTGGGGACCGCGAGATGACAGCAACCGATGGTTAGAGACCTTAAATGACATGGATCAAAATCGTTTGGCACAGGTGCATCCACTCTTCGTGTCCTCCCAAATTCTAATCTTCTGAATTCTTCATATCCTTTTTTTCCTCTTTCCAAATTTATTTCACTGTATTATACTCCTTGAATAACATCTTCAAACCCTAGTTTTTCTGATTACTGCTTATACTCTTACTACCTCTACCACTACGGGATTTGGATCGACAACTGCATCTCTGTGCTTATGTGGAACGGCAACTCGAACTGATGTACGTACGTACGAAGTTCTACGTTGTTACTGACTGATTGAAACACCACCCCTGCCGCGAGAAGGCAGTGAATAGGTCTTCCCTGGCAGTGGCTGTATACGCGTGGTCATGTGAGAGCATTTTGAGAGGGGGAGCGGAGCCTCCCAACCTTGGTGGGGGAAAGGTTCGATGTGGTATTTCCACATACAACCTATTCTTATTCATCCTTAATTCTGGTAAAATAGTTTACAGACGGTAGTTATCTTCATCAAACACTTTACACCAACAACATCTTAATACAGCTGACAGCACGTGTTCGCTCTCTGCCCCGCTGAGTTTGATGCTTCTGATTTCGCAACTATTTAGATTGCCCCAAAGAATTAGCATTCCGGCTAATGTTGCCTATTTAATTCTTTATGATAGACAAGATGGATAATTGTGTCAGAGTTACAGCAACTCATTGGTTTGAGACGTTGCCGGACATAGCTCAAAGTAAAAGTCAGTGGCGATTTTATTCTTGTTTTTCACTGGGCTTCTCATGTAGGATTCACCTTTTCAATAAACGACTTGGATTGTTGTTCTAACCAAATTATACGACCTAACCCTCTTCCATTTTTTATTAGTTATCATTTCACTTTACGTAATAAAATTTTAATGCCCTATTTGACCAAATTTTCGTGTTATAAATATGAGTCAATAATAACGTTTTACGGACAGTTAATATTTAACTGGATACCTAGTAACTCTTACTAGTCATTGACACTTTTACAGCTCCATTGGCTTCCAGTTTAAGGTTCTTCTCTTTTATGTTCCATATCAACTGATACATGTCGCATTCCATTCTTTCTGTTATTACATAGTCATTTAGTGTTACTAGCAATAGTAGGTTTCTGTTCAGTCGTGTGCTAGTACTTGAGCTAGGATACATTCGTTGCATAAAAATACTCCACATTATAGTTTGATGGCCGTGATTTATTCGCTTGAGTTATCAGAATCGCTCTCGCGACTACAAAGTCGGATAATTCACTCAATCATTTTGTATCTCGTAGTTTTATTTCATATTTGTCGTGAAACACTCACTACCCTTTATGAGACTGTCGATTTTAATTGCATGAGGACAACTGAGCTAACGTATTTTAATGAATTAACCCCTAAAGACTTCATTTAATCGACCACCAAAAATTATAAGTGAAGTGCCTAGAACTATGTTTATTACAAGAAAATTACGTATATGGCTGAGCTAGGGCTGTCACACTCATTTTCATATCAATTTTCTGTGGTCACAATCTTAAGACCATACCTATAATCATCAGTTTACATGCTCAAACTAACTTGAACTCGACTAAGGATCTGAGTTGTATAATAGTAATTGTACCTTTTTTATTCAAGCGATTAGTTGTGGCTTTCCGCCGCCTCATGTATTTACTTTTAAATCCTTCGTTTTAGCTCCCGCTTTATCAGATACTGTAAATAAAATTCTCCCAGTTTGTTCGGACTATTCAACAGTGGCTAGATTTATAGGTGGTAAGTTTCTGTTTCATTTCATTGTTGGTTTTATCTTTTCATTCCACATAATCTTGGCCAGTGTTAAACACAGGTCTTGTTAAATTGCTTGCTGAAAACCCCACTCTATTATTTTTTAGTTTTAATCCCTCTCATTTGGGTAGCCATCTGATATAACCGGTTTTCGCACAAAAGTGAAGTAAAAAGACAGGTACACAAAGCTGTACCTGGTTAGTGGTTCGCAAGCAACCAAACTATTCAACAATGGGCGAAAAATAGCCTTCCAAGCAATATAATCTAACTTTAGCTAATACTTATAATAGCAGTGGGATATTATTACACATTATTTTTGTTTACGAATTATTGTGTCGATAATGTATGGAAATTTCTGAGAATCATATTTTTTAGTTTATAATCAGTCTTATTTAAATATGTTTTTGTTTGCCAAAGAGAAGTCCACATTCGAATATGGAACGGTCAACCAGGCACTAGCAGGTGCAATGCGCGGTTTACTTAAGGATTATCTTATTCTGTTATGTCAACTTGAATACCAGTATAAAATTGGTCAATTGGGAATAGTTAAACTCCACTTTTTTTTGCAAGTAAGCGATTTTGTGATTAAAATTTAAATGACATTCAAAAGACATTTACACAAAGCGTAAGAAGACGAAAATCAGTCTAGAATCCTAAGAGGTAATGATTTCGAATCCGAAGCTTGGAAATAGACTAGTTAGGAGTATGGTGAAAATCTTAAAGCTTCATTATGAGGTTGGTGTTCATACACAGGCCTGTTTGTGAGATAGTTACTACTTCTGGTACGATTGGTTCCTGTTGTATCTCTTGCAGACACTTCATAAATATATATTCTCTTCAAAGTTGTCAACATATCGAATTTACTTTACCAACTAAAAATTCAATAAACATAAGATTCGAAATACGCCTTTTATTATAGATTTCTATCATTGAAGTCCCAGTTTAAACTGTTTGGTTTTTAGTTGAGTTAATACCAATCAAAACTCCCCTCTTATCCATATTTTTTCGATGGACAACCTTTTAGTATCATTATTTTTCATACCATTGTATGTAAAACGAAGACAACCTCAGAGTATTGTGACAAGCCAACACATGATAATTCAATACTAATGCCTTTCATCTTGTTGTATCACTTCATAAAGAGACCACCTCCCGACTTTTGCAGCTCACTCTCAACTATCATTGCTCCTGTATGGTTGTCACCGGGATAACATGCATAATATGTTCAGGTTGTGTGACCCAATATTTCAAAATATATGTTGAATGATAATTCCCTTTTTGCCCAGTGACATGTTACTGGACCCTAGGAGTAACTACACAGTGTTGTCAGTCAGTGTGTTCTTCGTGAGTCAAGGATGGTTGAACTGATTACATGCTCTTATTTTACTTACTGTATTTTTGTGAAGGACTTTAATAATGTTCATAAACTTACGTATTTACCCCTAACAAACGGTTCCAGAGAACAGTTTTATCCAGCTCACGCAACCATAAATACAACAATATTCTTCAATGAATACAACTATGATGATGGATCTGAACGAAAATCTATCCATTCTTTATGAAACAGCCTCATGAGTTTCTCACAATCGTCAGAGTTCTATGAAAGCTAATATTTCACGTAAGATTAGAGGGAGAACGCATAATCACATGCCTTATTTATGCTCTTTGTAAGTATATGTGTCACAATTGCGCTCTAAAGCACTAAACATCTTAAAATAATTTGGAATTTGCGCAACAAAAGAAAGTGCAATTCAATAATTGTTTCAAAATGACTCAGTAAGAGCAGATGGAAACCGCCTATCTTCTTCCATTACCCAAAACAATTGACACAGATCATTCGGTTGTTAATAACTCAGCCTTCGTAATATTGTATAAAAGTTATTTAGTGAGAATGGTTGGATTTGTTGGACCGTTAATCACACTCAAGTCCTAATCCCTTTTGTATGTTTGAAAACAATTTATACTTCTGGTAAATCTATCCTGATATTATTGATTTGTTATTCGGAGTTATGATTTGAATTATTTCTTCCCTATCTTTGCTTTTCTTATCTCCCAGTTTGTCTAATATTAGCTTTTCATATATGAATATCTTATTAAGTAAATATGTAATCAGGCTGTTCGGAATATATTTCGCTGATATATATAATATTGGTCTTATAAATTTCGCTTTCTCAATGCACCATTTAAATTTATCAAATGGGATAGCTTTCGAAGGTAGCAAGGATGGTTTGTTACCCAAACAACAAACTAACAGATTAATTTATCTTGAAACAAGTCATACGAGTTTATTACTCTCTTAAACACAAGATATATTTGGGTTTGTCGTTGATTTTAAAAATAAATGTGTTACATCTGCAAGGAGTGGCATTGGTTTTTCAATCTGCCAATGTGTTGTGACTTTCTTTTTACGAAAAGTTAAAAAATGTTGGAATATTGAGGTGCAAAAAATCCGGGTTACTTAAAGTAAAAACTAGCTATGCCATGTAAACTATCCACTCAATAAAACTTCACTTTTAATAATATTTTTATTTTTATTTATGAAGGAAACAGCTACCGCTTTTAATCAGTTGACTCGCCTTGTTTATAATATAAACACAGGACAGTGTTCTGGTGGTGCAGTGTTATCAGTATTGTATGATTCTCTAAGGTCTGTTTATGGTGTTAAACAATTACATGATTTAATGCTTTATCTCCTGTGTTCTGTAAGTTTGAAAATTTCTTTATTTTGATATTGTTTATACACACATATTGTTTCACTAGGTTTTCTTTTATAGTACTTTTATTAATTTCAATATAGCGATTAATCCAACGTATTCTGAAACATTAGTTTAATACGAAAAACCTATAACTAGGGTTTAACTATGGTGAAACTGAATTAAACCATATTATTTCCCCTTTTAGAACGTAAGTGGAAACTGATGTGTTCGGTTTAAGTATCCACTAATTAGTTACTTAATAGTAACCGAGGACAGGTTTAGTCTGTGAGACCCAGTTAATAAAATATGATCTGTGAAACGGAGTGTACAGTATTAAATTGGTTAATACTTAATGCCTGATAAATCCAAATATTACGGTTCTCCAAGTGATTATTTGCGATGTGAATAGCTGCGTAATAACGCTTGTGATAATAAAATTAGATAGTGCATATTCAAACACTATGAGAAGTATCAGTTACATCAAATTTGCAGATACACCTAGGTGATGAGTGTCACGTAGCATAAAATCTATGTCTAGGGCTTCCGTTTCGTTGCATCTAGGCCATAACATCAAGTAAGAATATCACTTATGCGCTCAGCCTAATCTTCAAACCACTATTGGATCTCATTTGTTATTACAACTCTTCCGTGCTTTGAATACGTAAGTGCCGCCCACTTAATAACTCAACCAACCACCGTTGGATGTCATGGTTAGTCAGATAGTCATTTTGAGCATAAAGCAATTGAAGACAACCAAATTATTTAGTAGGTTAATGGTTACTACCGTACTTTCTAGAGAGCAATATTATCCTGATAACCAAAACAATTTATTTGATAATTCGAAGTGTTTTAGTATCTCAGGTATATTATCCGTAATTTGCGTAACCAGTTTATAATATCTAAACGATGAGTGTATTGTTTCTGGATCTTTCTTATGTCTTAGTGACGTTTTCCCAACAACTATGTTAAAACTCCACGTAACCATCAACGAAACACTTATTAATTGCAAGTTTTCTGTACTCGTTTGAGGATTATGGTGCGTACACCAGCTATGGTTAAGAAACGCGAATATACAAAACGGATACTTTTATCAACTAATACCGATTCTTAATATCACTGTTTGTTATAATAAAGTCAATTTCCTTCAATTTCGACAGATCACTAAATTAAGTCGGCCGGTTAGTGGAAAAGCACTTTAGTTTTGTTTTTTCATAAGACCTTTACTATATATGAGCTAAAAAATGTATGATACACGAAAGCAATAAGAGTATGATACGTAAAATATCAAAGATCATTAATATCAAGATGTATACACTTCATAAGAAAAGTGAATTCAAGTGCACAATTTTCAGATGGTATATAGTTAAACCAGTTAAATACTGACCGATTGAGGTGTTAGTCAGTTTGTAGATTGATCTTTTTTTGTAATAGAATTAAATCTCCGACATCCTTTTCTTATTAAAACACACGTCAATTTTATTGCACTTAACTTTACTACTGGACGTTTCTTGCTACGTCTGCACTACGAATTTTATCTGGTTAATATATCAATGCATTCGTTGTTACAATTAAATGTATCATTCCTATTTCGCGTTTTGTTGTATGCTTTCCATCTTGTGTGCTCCAGCTTTCCTAAATTATTTTCCTGTGATTTATTTTATATCAGGCTACCGTACCTTTTTTTAAAATTCTTCAAAAATGGATATATCGGGGTGTAATTTCTGACCCATATAAAGAGGTTAGTCAGTCACTCAATAATCCTTTGTCCAGAACATGTCAAATATATTATGCGCATCATATTTAAAAACTTCTACTCTTTTTTTCCAGCATAAAAATAATGTCTTAAGGTTTTGAATAATTGTTGATTTAGCATTTACACTTTGCCAACATCTTTGAACTCAGAGTACATTTTATTGGATATTTTCTTCGCATTTTGGACTCACTAACTCATATTCTCTCACATAAACTGATAACTCACCAGTAGCCCTGTGTAATTTGTCTTATATGTGCAACAAATTACTCCCAGGCTCAGTCTCTTGAGTACGATGAGCAAACAACTTTTGCACTATCGGGTAAACAAAAGAGCAATCTTGTTCATAAGAACAAAGAGAACGAAAGAGGACTACTGCATACAAATATATTTGAGATGTCCTTTAAGGTAGGCCAGAAATATACTGACAAAGTAAATATTGTGGTTCGAGTTTTAATGACGTCATAAATATGCTAATCCAATTGAGCAATTAAAAACAAGATGTGAACGACAGATTAACATAAACTTACAAACTGAGAATTAAGATCACGTAAACATTGATACCGAATAATATAAATTCATATTTCGTGGTTTATCATCAGCTGCTTACGATCACATATTTATTGAAAGTTTACCTTGAGGCTAAATATAATGTCAAACAATTGACGGAAAAACGAAAAGAATGACAAAGGCTATTAATAATAATTATATATATAAGATAGATTGTGTGATAATTTTAGAGATTATGAAGGGCTTCCATAGAATTATTGGAATTAAAGATTGGTAAGTTGGGTTACGTAGTAATTAAACAGTATTTGAGGCAGATAGAGACGAATACATTATCAAAGTAATATCCATTTTAAATTATTCCACGAGATTTATCATCGACTCAGAAAGACGTGACAGATGCAGATCTTGGTGGGAATTTTTTCTCGCAGTTGGATGGTTTGGTCGTGGATCTTTCATCGTTCTTCTGAACGACATCACTAGCGCTAACTTTAAGTGGAAGTGATATGTTCGAATTTCTTCGCGTGTGTTGTATCGGAGAATCTTGCTTTACCCTTTGTGTATATTGAGATCTACTGCTGCTGCTACACTGGTCGTCTTCTCCTGCATTTGTTGTTGCGATTGAGATAGGAGGGCCAGATCATCTTCGAAGTCTAGGTCGTCCAGATGCATCCTAGATGTTCACTGTATCCCGTGTTTCCCTTCAGATGTTGACGTCTTCGTGATCCAGTCGATCACTAGAAGAAAGAGAAAGGGTGAGAGTAAACAAACTTGCCTGACACCGGTCTTCACTTCGAACGAGTCCGTCAGCTGTCCTCCATGCGCGATTTCGCAGTTTAATCCATGATAAGAACTCTGTATAATATTGACTATCTTCTCAGGCACGTCGTAGTGTCGAAAAAGCCTCCATAGTGTTGTCCTGTCCATGGTATCAAATACTTTCTCGTAGTCAATGAAGTTGGTGTGGAGTGATGAATTCCATTCAATTGATTGTTCCACAATGATCCGTAGTGTTGCGATTTGGTCGGTACACGATCTAGCCTTACGGAATGCAGGCTGTTGGTCTCGAAGTTGGGCGTCTATGGAGTCCTTCATTATGTTTAGCAATACCCTGTTGAAGACTTCCTGGTATCGAGAGAAGAGTGATGCCCCTGTAGTTATCACACTTGCTGAGATCACCTTTCTTTGGTATCTTGATCAGGTGTCCTTCTTTCCAGTTTGTTAGTACTTGGTCTTCATCCCAAATCTTGCTGAAGAGAATATGGAGTGTCTTTTCAGTTTCTGCCACATCTGCTTTCAGTGCTTCCGCTGGAATGTTGTCTGGTCCTGCTGCTTTGCCGCTCTTGATTTGTCTGATGGCCATGCTGATTTCTTCAATCGTTGGTGGGCCAACATTGATTGAGAGGTTCATGGGTGCTACTTGAACGTTGGGTAGGTTCAGTGGAGTTGGTCGATTCAAGCGTTCTTTGAAGTGTTCTACCCACCTGTTTCGTTGTTCATCAATGTTGGTGATTACTTTGCCTTCAATGCTTTTCACTGGTCGTTCTGGTTTACGATAATTTCCAGAGAGTTTCTTTGTTGTGTCATAAAATTGTCTCATATTTCCTTCTTTTACAGCCTTTCCCACCGTCATTGCAAGATCTTCCATATATTTACGTTTTTGGTTCTGATGCTCCTCTTCATTTGCTTGTTTACTTCTGTGTATTCAGCTTGTGCCTCGGCTTTTTCTGCTCTTGTTCGTCCTTTCTTGAATCTTATCCAGTGTATCAAAAGTTATCCATCCTTTGTGGTGGTGCTTATTGTGGCCCAGAATCTCATGACATGTTGAAGTGATTGGTCCTTTTATCCTTTTCCAGTTGCTCTCCATAGTAGTTCCCTCTCCATTGAGTAGATCATGAAAGGACTGGAACTTATTGCTGAGGGCTATTCTGAATTGGTTGAGTTTGTCAGTATCCCGAAGGAAAGCCGTATTAAACTTTTGTGGTGTTGTCCGCTCCGTTGTCCACTGCTTCTTAAGTTTCCATTTCCATCTTGGCGACCAGCAAGAGATGATCTGATGCCATATCAGCTCCATCATTCTCCTGAACTTTTTGTTGGTGCAGACATGGTCGATTTGGTTCTGTGTAGTGTGATCTGGTGAAGTCCATGTGGTTTTGTGTGGGAATATAGTGCCACCTATGACCAGTTTATTAAAGGCACATAGGTTTGCAAATCTCTCACCATTTTTGTTCCTTTCTCATAGTCCATGTTGTCTCATGATGTCTTCATATCCGCTGTTGTCCATTCTGACCTTGGCATTTAGATCTCCCATCAGAATGGTTAAGTTCTTTGTTGGGCACTTCTCGACGATAGAACTGATCCTTAACATCTTCATTGTAGTCGTTGGTAAGCGCATAGCATTAGATGACGTTAATTTAAATGCCCTCTTTCTTTGCTTTGAAGGAGACTCCGATTATCCTTGGTCCATGAGATTCCCATCCTATAAGTGCATTTTGTGCTCGTTTGGACAACGTCAATGCAACTCCTTGTGTATGCGGGGCATTTTCTTCTTCATGGCCGGAGTATAACAGAAGCTCTCCTGAAGTTGTTGTCCAACTTGCGTCCAATGAGTTTCACTAATCCCAAGCACCTCTAAGTTGTATCTCCTCATTCCTGCAGCAATTCGGAAGGCTCTCCCGGTGTCCCACATTGTACGAACATTCCATGTACCTAAATAAATGGTCGCTCTGGTTGTCAGAAGGGGCATTGGCCTCGTGACTTCCGAAGGAACTTGGCTTTCATCATGAGGCGTCATGACTCTTCTAAATGAAGACCTTCTGACTCCCAGGGCAGAGTTTAAGTGGTTGAATTATTTTTTTCTGGTAAGCGTTTTTTTAGCGAGTTAGTTTTCTACGGGATGGGGACGCTAACCCCATGCCCAACCCTCCTCCTTTATCCGGGTTTGGGACCGGCAGTAGCCCTAGAGGGGCTCCAAGCGAAGTTCGCCTACTTTATAGTCTTGATGAATAACTGCTCATTACTTTCCAGTTTTATATAGGACTAACAATATCGTGTAGAAGTACCATAAGTAATTGTTTTAACGAATTTGCCAGTCAAAAATTCATTTAATTTTGTGGATTTACAGTTTTTCATTTCAGCTGGATCTACGCCGAATTTTTATGATCCTGATAAAGCATCTCCAAATAATCTTCATTCAGCTTCATTCCAGTTCGACCGTTTTACACAGAATTATGTGGACTGGGCATTCTTTTGGGAGTGTCATTATTCTCTTGTACCAATAAACTTACCAAGTTTTCTTGAACCTAATGCTTCGAAAATTCTTAGTACGGGCAAGTATTTGAATGTTGTACAGCAATGCGGTGAGTTTTCTTAAAGTAGCCTTTCGTGTGTATAACAAATTTCTTTGTTTATAGTTGTAGTAACTCTCGTAGTCAAGTCTTTCATAAGTTATAAGGAAGAAAAACGTGACTGACGTGTGAAGTTTCCATTTTTAAAATATTAGTAGTCCTAATTCTGTTTTTTAATTTAGCACATTTCATCTCATATTTTTGGATCAGTTAACAACGATGGTTCAAAAGTAAAATTTGTTTCTGTGTCATTGAGATTTTTGGTCGTATGTTAGAACTTACAGTTACTACTTGCTGATGATAGCCAACGAAGACAAAATTCACATTTATTGTTTCTTAGTTAGTCAATCGTATGGAATGTACTGGTGCTTCTTAAATCTATTCTAGATTTTTAGTCAGATTTCAGCGTTACAATTTTTCATGAGTGGAATCTGATTATCGTTGAAGTTCACTGTGTTTTTTGGTTAGCATTCAGTGATTTAGTGGTAGGTAGCTATGAATCAGGAAGTCCTCTAGATAATAATTCCTCCAGTTGAGCACAAAAAATACTTGCTTTTTTAACTAGTGTCAGTTTTTATATGCACACAAAATTCTAGGCTGGAAATTCAGAGAGCAGGTAGTCGTAATACATCTTGTATTATATGTATGTGTATGGAGAAAATACCTGTTTAATGCATATCCTGTATATCAGTCAGCTACAACGTAAGACCGGGCACATATTTGCATCGGTTCAAGTTGCCATACCTCATTAGCACAACAAGATGAACACCAAATTCATAGAAGTAGTTAATTCAGTGGTGGTAATATATAAAAGAAAGATTGCATATGAGGACATAGTACAGAAATAAAGAATCTTGCATATAGCATTACGTTGACACAACCGCTCGCAAACTATCAGTGAGACTCGTTGTTCGATTTACCTTGAATCAGAATATTATAAATAATCAGCATGTGTAAAGTCGTGTTTAATCAGGTTAGCAAATCTCTTGTTCGTCCGATTTATATGATGGTTCGGATCGCAGATTAACTCATGTTTCCAAGAGACACAGACATGGTTTATCGCCAATTTAACTTTGTAAGCTTACATTGTGAATGAGTGACACTGTTTCAACTGTAGTTAAGTACCAGTGTAGTTACAGTCTCTCTACTCCTATATAAATTACGAATACACCACTGTATAGCGAAAAATCATCTTAAGAACGTTAGTGTCCTATGGACCTTTTTTCAACTGTACAAATATTAAAATAAATTTTCCTGTTTTAACAACTCATTTGTGTATGACAATCGCCTAATGTGATTCACACGCTTTTTCAAGAGGCTAACAACCTGTTACGAAGCTAACTGTTACAAAATTCACGAGGGATCATCACAGTAATCCATATTTCGTCCTCTTTGCCTGTTCTTTCAGAGAAACAAAAGGCGGTTACATTAGATTTCATATATCAAATGTATTATCAAATAAGTTCCATAGATGCTACGTAAATTGGTTGTAGACTATTATTGGGGAAAATAAACAGCACCTTATTACTGTGGGTAAAACTTTTTTATGCCTGTTTCAATATTGCACATTTTTGCTTAGAGTTCTTTATTTTAATCAAACATATAAAATTGAATAAAATAATTACTGCTATTTCAAATCACCTAACCGTTGGCTATTCATGGATTTAAAAATAACCTACAGGTTAATATTTTCAGCCATATATTGGTCCACACATAACTGACATTTAATTAGTTAATTGATTGTCAAAATGCTCTCTGTTGAATCTTGGTTTGAGGGTTCAACAATAACTTTGTTTGTGGTAGATTTGGAAGTCACACATCACGTTTCGTTTACAGTTAAGGAGTATGTGCTACTGAATGATCCAATAATATGATGAATAAAACTGCCCTTATATGGAGAAATGCTTCAACAGAATCTATTCTGGAGGCTAAAATTGTTCATAAAGAGTATTATCAATATAAATATATTGAACAAAACGGCCGTCTATTGCTTCCAGGTTTTCAGTGTTGGTCTAATACTGATCGGTTTATGATTTAAACAAATAAATGAGTTGAAAAAGGATAATAGGAATGACGAACTGCTTTCCGAGTCACCAGATCCTCCGTGACATGTATTTATACGAAAATTGTTTTCCAGTACTGTCACAGAGGATATGATGAATTGGGTGTATTTCTTTTGACATCAGATAGTTCACTACTATTAACCACTATGTCAACTGCATATTGTAACCAAAATTGTAATATGTAATTGTTTTCTCTTTCTTGTTATAACTTGTTGTCGATTACTCAAAATTTTAACTTATTATTTCTTAGCCGATCGTTATGAGCTTCCTACGTGTGAAGAACTTGTTTATAATAAAGAGCATTCAGTGTTTCTTGATAAAATTGACCAAGCTCATCTGTACGCAAGCAGTTTATTATTGAAATTGATGCTGCAACAAAAGGATTTAAAAGAACACCTAAAGTAATTCTATCATATTTACATTTAATAAATTGTCATAATAATTTTCTCCAGAAAAACTAGCATATGTTTTAACTAAGATGATTACGAAAATACGTGTACTTTACATAATAATCGGTCAATACATTTCCTAGTTCATTTTGCTAGTTTCAGTGAATTGATATGTTTAAGTATACTGCTTCATTGCGATTGGTGGTACCTGTCCTCACTTCCAGCTAGAATCCATTCAAAGGTTACATATTGTAAATAAGAAGCCTAGAGATTCATTTTGGAAGTCATTTTGTTTGAAATGGTGAGTTTTATGTACACTGATGACTCCTGGGACTCTCATTTAGGAACGAATATTCTTTCAATGATGAATTTGTTCTCAAGCTTATGTTTTAGGAAATAGACTAATGAAGTGAAGATGCATTTCCCTCCAATTTCCCATTATAACCCTATAGTAAAATATTTATTCTCCTATAACAGTAAAAACCAATGCCAAAATATCTATGAAAATGACGATTAATGATTTCAGAAGTAAATATAGGCAATCGAATGAACAGGGCAATTATAACTTTCAAAGGCATTTTGTAACTTGCAGGTTCACGCATGTAATTACAAAATGGACAAATTATACAGTAGCGGGTAATAGAATTTAAAGAGACTTTTATCAGTTAGAATAATAACAAAAGTTATGTAACGAAATAAAGACGTACATCAGTAAGTCATGTATAAACAACGGATATCATAATGGCCGGAATTTAGAAATAAAAGGAGAAAGGGAGTTATAATAGAAATATTAATAATAAGAAATAACTAATTCCTTAGTTACATTTTTAGAATATTAAATAAAAATACTTCCACCTGTGTACTGCGAATTGTTATTTTAGTGAATAACGCTTTAAGAATTAGTTGTTATTGAAAAAACCCTACTTTCTTTAGAAATTTCCGTAACCCCTATGTGTGGAGAGCCGCTCTTAATAGTAGTATTTGACTGATTCCTTGTGATTATATATGTTTCTATACCTGCATACCCTTATTTCAAATCAGATTGAATAATCCTCTACTATTTTCATGAATGCTTTCATCCTAACAAATAAAAATTTATTAATGTTTAAAACTGTTAGCTTGCTGCTACAAATGAAAATGCATTATAGTAAGTAAAACGACAAATACCTTCTTTAAAATAACTTCATATTTATTTGTATTGCAGATCTGTTAAGCGTTTCTTTCTGTTGGATCAAGGTGATTTTATTGTTCATTTTATGGATGCCGCTGCAGCAGAATTACGTAAAAATAGCGAAAGTAAAAATGAATATTAATATTATTATTCACAAATGTGTTAATCATAATTATTTGCGTATTGTGTTCAAATACTATTGCATACTATTGAGATGTACATTTTAAAGTTGTTTGAACAAATTGTATTGTTTTAATGTGCTTGTGATAATGCTAGCTGAGACATGATATCGACTTCTTTTATAATTGGAAAAGAGCGAGTTTTTGTCATATACCTTTCATGTATTTATCTTTTTTTTCCAGTTATTTCTCAACTACGTTTAAATTCTTTATTGGAATTGGCACTTCGTACTAGCACTGCTAATAGTGATCCATTCAAAGATAATTTATCGTAAGTAAAATTCGCTACTGAAAATGTTTTACATCGAAAAATCGTTGTTATTTATTGCTATATTGTATTTAAATGATAGTTTAGTTTTACTATCTAATCAGCTTTAATAAACCAGACTGGTGCTGTTTCATGATTTTCAAAATACGTTTATTACTTTCTCTGTTTATTTGTCATTTAGCGTTGTGATATTTCAATTTGATTTAATCTCTCAAATTTTAATGGTTCTACGAGCTGGATCAGAAGACGAACCGGGTAATCTAAGTTTTCACACCCTATCATTTCGTTATTTTTTCCTATTACCCTACAATATAATAGTTTCGGTTATTTAACTATCCGGATAATTACAGGATTCTATTACTTAATTTTTCCATTTATATGGGCGGTTTTTCAACTTTTATAGCTTTTACACCGACGAATGGTCGTGCAATAAAAATTTACTATGCTTGGTAGCTCCAATTTATCAACAACACGCTAATAGGAATCATTATCATTTAAGATGGTAGTGAATACCACATTTCTTTTACGAGTGTATATTTTAACCCTGATTAGTTAGCTGAGCACACCTAACATATCCCTTCTGATTTATTTTGAAATTATGGTGTACCAAGAATTTAAATTGACTATATTTTCAAGTTCAACCGTATCCTATCTAGCCATTTAAGTGGATGTCTGCAAATAAAGCAACATTAAAAATGCATTCAGTGTATATAAAATAGCATACGTTGGCTTGTTATTTTTAACATTAGGTCTAACCCCATTGCTTTTTTGCGGAATTAATTAATGTCTCTTACCCAGTGACTTGTTGCATTAGTTTTTCTCTGGTTATTGGCTTCGTATGTGTATAAACAATTCTTTAGCTAATGACACACTAACAACAATATTGTCTAACAAACCATTTCAAAATTATTTAAAGAGTAACCTCTAGGTAGTTTAGAGTAATTTGTTTTCACTCAAGTAATCAATGTAGAAGCTTAATCGCAAATGATGAAAACTATTTCATTACAAGCAAAGTATATATTTTTAACGTAAATCCTTCAAAAGCTATTCGCTGTTGATCTCCCGTAATATATATGAACTTTGAAGCCTGTGCAACTCACAAATCATAATTTACTTTATTATTGTTAATCTGGTGATGCCCTTACTATCGGGACATTTGTGGGTTCCTAACAATATTCAGGAACACAGATTGTCACATGTTTTAAACAAATTTCTCAATTAATTGAATAGTGCGAAAAGGACAGTGTTCGAACTTCAAACTACCATCAGTTGTCTTCCAATGTTAACTTCAATTTAAAATTGTTATTTACTCCATCAAAATCAGTTGTGGTAGACCAATTTTGAGATTGCTGACAATTCAAATGCAATTATTATGTTCTCTCAGAGATCAGTATGATCATATAGTGTAACAGGACGTTTAAAATTTTAGGTATCGTCTCGCTACATATTGTTCACCGCCTCTTCTGTGTGACGACAGATAACTCAGAGTCAGTATTTTTAAAGTGAATTAACAATATTCGTAATAAACATACTTTTTTAATGTTATTTATTTGTGACTTAGACAACGTCTTACCGATCGAGGATAAAAATCTTTCAGGACTAGAGGCTTTCTGTTTGGATTATAGAGTTGGCTGGCCTATTGATTTAGTGCTCAATCGTCAAGTAATGGATCGCTATCAAATGCTTTTCCGTCATCTTTTATACTGCAAACATGTTGAGAGATTACTATGCAAGTAAGAAATACTATGTTAGCACCTTTTCTTTCATTTTGTTTACCACCTGTAAGCCGAATTAGGAATACATGCTTACCGCGGAAAATTCCACTAATCTCTGAACTATGAAAATTATGACCGTGAGTTTTAGGCACATTTAGAAACCAGCAACCAAATACCGGTTTGTGTACACCGCTTTAATTCACATTACCGTGTGAAGGCTAACTACGTCGTTTGGATCGCTGAACTGGAAAGTCAAGTGCATAAGCTACCGCCAAACTGTAATTATAACTTGTGAGTGTATCGGATGTCACTGATATTGCCCAGGTATTTATCAAACTCAGCGAAATCAAAAATGTACCATTTCCCTCGCGTAGGCGTTTTAATAATCAAACTGATTTCTACAATAAAGTCTGGGATGTTTAAAAGTTGTCATCCATAGATAGCTGCAAAATCTTGGTTTAATTCACATTTTTACGGATTGTGAATAGTTTAGTGATATGTGTTAGTGAGGAGAAAATGTGATTGGTCATTGAGTTCGGACAAACAGGCAATTCTCCTACTAACTACTAAATATGTGTTTATTTCCTATTATTGATTTAGACTCGGGACTCACTGAGTGTATCTATTTGTAATTGTTGAATAAAATATCATTTAGTGTTAATCTGGTTCTCTATTCTGGGTTGTGAATCTTGTATACGATATAACTTGACCAGTCTCATTATCGTATCAACGTATTTGTGCAGCATACGCTGTGAGGAAAATATTTTGGACCATCCGTTGTATCAGTTAGAAAGCTGTTTTTGTCATGAATATCCATTTCTAATTAAATGTTGCTGGGGCATTAAGCCTTTGGTATATATTGATTCAAAGCATAATCTTGAAATAAGTTACTGTAAACTATCGTCTAACCTTTTCACTATCATTTCAGCTCATGGATTCTAGGCAAACTTGCTCGTAAATGTGATAACCTTATGACTACCTGGTTTACAACCGCTTTCCTATTGGCCCAACGAATGCTTATTTTTATTCAACATTTCCAATATTACATGTCTGTTGAGATCATTGAACCAGCATGGCACAATTTTTTCAAACGCGTTGACAAAGTATGTTGTTGCCAATTCCTTTATTGTTATATACACATACATCATTTCCACGTATCCAAGTCGTTAAGCACGCACAAAGGAAATTAACATAGCTATATTCAACAAGAGATAAATGTAAAACACACTACTTACAAATCACAAAATATTAACCTGGGCATACAATGAAGGTAGCTTAACTGTTGAATCATAAAAAATTGTGATAATCGAAAAATTTTGTTTATCATAAATGTGAACGTTAATTCATTTTAACGATTCCATTGGATTTTTCGCACTGAATAAAGATTTTGTTAAAGCTAGCCATGAAAACAAGACTTGTATCAAAAAAGTGTTTTGTTGAGGGGAATGGAGCAATCAAACTAGTCAGACAGGAAATATAGCAACACCCTTTAATCTGTATTACTTGTTCTTCACAATTTTTTCAGACTTGATTCATAAATTTTCTGCAAAACGTTGCTATCTAGTTGGTGGTATTTCTCAGTTTAAACTTTAGTTAATTTGACACTTGTCTGTAACCTAAATCACGTCCTGCTTACATTTTTATTGTATTATTTACCATAATGAATTTCTAATTTGTTCATTCTTCGGTAGGTATCTAATTTGGACTTACTTTTAGACTCACATCTACATTTTTTGGAAGTATGTATGGATGATTGTTTACTAGCTAGTCCTGATCTATTAAGTTTAGTTGGAAAATTATCTGTAGCCTGTGTAACGTTTGCTAATTTTATCCAACACTTGGCGTTCTCTATAACAGGAGTCAATTTATCATCATCTGGAGATAATGATCAATGTATTGTTTATTTATCGCGGCATAGTAATGATATGGAAAGGCCTTTCCTACACGATCCAACACCGTCATCAAATTTAGGTCGAACAAAGAATGATTTAAAATATGCACCTCGTGAATCTACCACTAGTTCAGTAGAATCTATGATGACAAAGGTAAGTAGTCGATTGATCTTTCATTACCTGACAATTTTTGTGTTTTATTGTTGCAAGACAGAAATGAAGTAATCAGTCCTTTTTATAGATCATCCAAGTAGTTGCAAACATCAATTCGAGTGTGATATTCTTCATAATATTTACATATTTCTTGAAAGTTCTGACACCATTGAAGCAGCTGCTTTGTCATGTTCAAAGCATATTCGGTTTATGTATGTTGAACTATATGTGTTTGCTTTGGCATTTATTTTCTACGTTACTTGTACAAAACTTTTAGACAAATAGATATATTATCGCAGAACATTGAAATTATGTGCATATTTAAAAGTCGCCACGCATGTTTTTGTAACTATTCACATTCATGTGTAATACATAGTTATCTGAATATATGGATATAATGAACTACTGTTGTCTTAATGAATGGTCTCAGATCCAGACAAGATTACTTAAATCGTAACACTTCTTAAACTTCAAGTAATAGTATCATTCTTAGTATATAGGCAAATGCGAGTTGTAATTCACACTAAAATTGCTTTATTCTGCATAATTTTAATACATAAATGTTCAATTTAAAACAGCGAAATTTATGTACATTCAACATCATGACTGGAAACTGTAAATTTGGAAAATATTCTGATTGCAACGAGTGCTTTTGCTGCATAATATTTCACTGACACAATGTCCATCAGTAAGTACATAGTAATTTCATTCCCCTATAATTTTAGGTTACTAGAGAAGAGTTTGGTAGAATGAGTTTGTCAGATGATATGGCTAAAACGGTTACAAACTTTGATACAAATTTCAACAGAATGTTAGTTGAACTGCTTGAAAAGATCAAACAATATGCTAAGCATCACAGTAAACTGTTAAGTCTAGTATCAAGGTTAGTTAATTCTTCTTATATATTACTACTCTGATTTTCGTTTTCTGCAATTGCATATTTTATGTTCTTTCACTACATAGTATCCCTTGAAAACTAGTTTATTCGGATCTTCTCTGACCAACTTAAGAATTACAAGAGAGCAGTGTAAATTCCAATAAATTCGAATAACAAACACAGTAGTAAAAACACTAGTTTATATAGGATTCGGATAGGGATCTTTTAGCATCTCCTTGATTCCTTTGGCAGCAATGATTGTTTGAAAATAAATCTGTCGTATTCCGAACAGAGCTTGACGAATGTAACAGTCAGAACTTTATCCTGCTAACACCAACAATCGCACTTGATGTTTTATACGTATGCGGTAGTAAAACCCCCCAAACAACGTGTTGGTAGTAGTGAAACGTAAACCTTTATACATGGAAATTCCAAACACATAAGTACTCATGTAAACTTGCAAAACGTTCTAAGGGTATTCATCAATTTTCTCCATTTGATGACTTTTATATTGGTTAGTATATCTCTGTTGCTTGACTGTTAGTGATTACGTATATACATCGATATAGTTGCACATATCAAAGAATTTTTATTTGTTTTGTGATTTAAAATGTCTAACATTATCTAATAACCTATTATAATATATTTTCTGGTCTGACAGTGATACATTTCTCCTTCTTGTACAGACTCGATTTCAATGAATTTTACACTGAATTTGCTATGCAGTATGATCAGAGCGAGCGATCTCCTGAATCACCCGGTGATCATGAACCGTCTCTTGATAAAGATACCCTTGTCGAACACAAATCAGTACCACAAACAAACTCGGAATCCGACAATGAGGATTATATATAATATAGAATTTGTATTTTCAGTTTCTTTGGATAAATTATTTTCTATGTATTCCACTACTAACGGTTCTTGATATTAAGCTTTCGTATTTTTAGTGTTATTAATCTTAATTCCAAATTCACCATATCATTTTTGTTTACTGATCACATTCACGTAAACATTATGCCGTATATGTTTCTTCTTAGTACGATACATCACCGATAATCCAGGTGGTGCTAAATAACATTCGCTAGACATGTGCATTTTAAACCCATTCATCGCAAAAAATATTAGTGAAGTAGACAAAGTGGGGCAACTAGATCTATTTGTTCCCATTGGGACTAACACCTACGGCAAATATCCAACTGTTTTCTAATAGGCAATACGTGTCCTTTGCTTATAACAATTTTACATTTTCTTCGTGCAGCGACTTGAACAAACAAGAAATTATCAATCTCAAAAAGTACATCATTTGGATTATTATCGTTTTGAATAAATTAGGATGACTATAAGAGGTTTCAAAATATGTAGAAAAATGTTTGAACTGATCTGACGAATGTGAAAATTGTGCTTACCATTCTCAAGTTTACTCGTACAAACGTAATAAAGAGCAAATAAACGACCATACGACGTAACTTATGTGCGTCAAGGATGAATGCATTTACCAGCACTTACATAAACCTTTCTCATCTCATGGGTTAACCTGCTATTTTATACGACGAGATAGTGTGGTCTAATATGCAGTTGCGCACATATTACGTATTTCTCTGTTAGTTAGGTTTTACATATGACTAGTGATGAATCCACTGTGCTGGCTAAACTTATGATACCAACCACACATTTCTCAGCATCAGTACCTAATTTCATGCTAACGTATATCATAAACACTCAGTCCAAGTAAGAAGTTATACTATTTGAAATGTTTGGTGAAGACGATAAGTATAACAAAATTCATCGAGAAAGTCAAGAAGTATGGTTTGTTATAACAGTAAGGACATACGGAGATTCACAATAGACTAGTCTGCAAAGTGTATATACGTCTGTCACAAATCAGCTTTCAAAACATCATCCGGTATTAGAATTCTTTCGCCAGGCTTAAATGGTGGAAGCCCACGGTAAGGGCATGTAGAACATCGGAAAGCATCCCCGAGATAACACTGAGAGGTATTTTAAAACACGGTTGAAAATAATACAACAAATTAAACTAATAAATACAGTTCAAAAACAAGCACCAATAAATGAACTACACAAAATATATAATATCCACTAAACCTGAAGAAAATGTTTTTAAGTTAATCAAATTAGTCGGGAATATGTGTTGTATATATCTAAACTTTTGTGCTACCCTTGAATCTACAATCCAGCGGTCCACTACTGGGCTCTATATATGTTTTAAATTTCTTCGATAAGCGCACAACTAGACAGTGAAATATGATTTTCAGACGATTATTATATGGATGATAACATGTTTGTTTTATGAAAATAAGTGCGCAATTAGATGAATTCAGCTTGACTTACATAAAAGGTTTGCACTAAAAAAAAACTATATTGTTCAGAATAACCTTGTGTGATAAATGGTTATATATACTCGCAAATTATAGGTGACCCGCCTATAACATTTATCAATAAACCTATCATAGTCGTTGTTGCTAATCTTATTAAAGTTTATGGCTTGGTTTATCATATTAGCAGCCTAAAATGCGAACATAGTTTAGATAATAAGATTAAAAATTTAGGTACTATCAACTGCACTAGTAAAATAACTAAATCCTCAGGTAGCTGTTGGCTAAACAAACGTTTAAAATCAAAACTCCGTAGCCTACTAAAATTAACACTAAACGAATATTTCTGAATTGAAATTTATAATTAAATTAGGCGTCTCGGATTCTTTAAAGTTATAAATTTCTGATAATTTCGAATCACCTAAAGCAACAATAACTATTTTTCCAATGACTAATCCTCAATCAACACTATAATTAGTTAAACGTAATAGATTCAGGATATAGTCATAAAGCATTGTCATGACTTGACAATCACGTAATTAATGAAACTATTAACAAAATCGGTGAGCAAATTATCACTAGTGTTGTTTTTCTTTAATCTTCATTCACTACAGATGATCCCGACCGTTGTTGCTACCTTGACGTGGTGGTCGGGCTTGCCTATCGTGATGAAGCAACCGAGCTATACTGGCTGGAACAACTGTTCCTCAAGGTCCTACCATGTCAGACAGGTCGGTTGAAGAGTGGTAAGACTAAAAGCAACAAACCCAAGGTTCGAAGGCGAAGTCGTACTGCTGACTGTACAGAGGTGTGACAGCAGTAAGGTGTTTCCTTCAGACAACCAGCATGACAGCGATGCTGCCTTCCCACAAGGAGGGGTGGGGTTAGAAAAGGTCGACCCTAAAAATGCACACCTCGCCTTACCTCACGGGTATCCGTCTCCGGTGGTAAGGCCCTTTGAAGAACGGAGCTAACACGTCAAAAACCTCTCACGAAAAGGCCGTGCGCGACCGGCCTCAAGCAGTTGTCCCTTGGGCACTGCGGTCACGCTCCCAGGTCACTGAGACCACCTCTAATCCAATTTCCTTTTCAGGTACCTCCAGAAGAACCCTTCCTCGGTGTGGGCAACCGGGAAGTGATAACCGCCCTCATACCTCTAACAGCACTCAAGACCACTGTATTCATAATCAACCTCCCTCTTCAATTCCTATTATTCCTCCTACATCGACTTTCAACTCTAAACTTCCTCTTTCGGCTTCCTCCTCAAGTGTCACCACAGCCAACGATTCTAGTGCTCAAAACACTGTTCCAGGTCTACTGAAACCTCGCTCCAAACTACACATTGGAGCCTTCAACGTACGCACCCTATGTCAAATCGGTCAGCAGGCTTCCTTGGCTAAAACCCTAGAGTCTCTTTCCATTGATGTGTGCTGTGTCTCCGAAACACGCATACAGGATTCCAGTGTGATCATTCACTCGACCTCACCTCGGCAAAACGGAGAGTCAACGAAATACACCCTCCGTGTATCTGGTGACCCGATGGTCAGTTCTCGTGGACTGGCAGGTGTAGGCATAGCACTAAGCATGAGGGCGGAACAAGCACTGTTGGAGTGGATCCTCGTCAACAGTCGTCTATGTGCTGTTCGGCTAAACGGCTCCGTAAGGACTCGGAAGGATAGGGACACACGTCGTTGCCTTTTTGTCGTTTCTGCCTACGCTCCCACCGACTGCAGTTCAGGTGAAGTGAAAGATGAATTTTACAGAAAGCTCTCTGAACTTCTTCAGAAAGCTAAACGTTCAGACATAGTACTCGTGGCAGGTGACTTTAATGCCCAGATAGGTAGTTTAAACCAAACAGAAAGGCATTTAGGTGGGTATTTTAGTATTCCGGCACAACGATTAGATAATGGTGATCGCCTGCTGCAACTGTGCTGAGACAATCGTTTATTTTTAGCAAACACAAATTTTAAGCATAAGGAGAGACATCGTCTAACATGGCGACCCCTACACCAAACCAACGATGGACTCAAATAGACCATATTGCTATCAGTCATAGTTGGAGAGGGTCGGTAGAAGATTGTCGCTCATTCTGGAGTACCTGCTTGGACTCCGACCATGCCCTAATACGGGCACGCATCTGCTTGCGCCTCACTGGACGCAAAAAAGCCACATTAAAAAGACCCATTAGAACTGAGTTGAGTAACGAGAAAACCAAAAGTAGGTTCCAGGAACAACTGAGGTCACACTTAGGTAGTTCTGCAAACGAGGCTGACCCAGATGTTGCTTGGAAAGCCATACAAACAGCTGTGGAAACAGCAATGAAATCTATTAGTGACTTAAACCACAGAGTTACAACGAACTAGTGGATTTCTTCAAAGTCTATCACACTGATGGATTCTCGCAAACTCGTCCCATCAGGTTCCGAACATGATGAAGAGCGACAACAAATCAGATCTAGGTTAAGAAAAAGTCTAAGAAAAGACCGTGAGCAGTGGTGGGCAACGAAAGCAAAAGAGATGGAAAAGGCGACGACTATAGGGAACACCAGACAGCTCTACAGACTAATAAAAGAAACTGGAATTATTAAGTCAAGTGTAAGTCAGACTATTTCGGAAAAAGACGACACTCATCAGAGAACAGATCAGCTGGCCTTCGGCTACTCTACAACTGCCGTCCATTTCCAGACAGTGTGAATGGAACATTGAAGTAGGTCCCTCAACTCTAGCAGAAGTTCGAATGGCTATAGGTAATCTGAAACGAGGAAGGGCAGCAGGTCTAGATGGATTTGCTCCAGAAGTCTTTAAGGATGGTGGTCCAATTTTAGCGATTGGGTTGACTAGTATTTTAGCTAAAATATGGGAGTTAGACGTTATTCCATCTGGCTGGTCGCAATCACTTATCGTCCCAATATATAAGAAAGGGTCAAAATCATCCTGTGACAACCACAGAGGGATTAGTTAAACTAATATAGTATCTAAAATACTAGCCTCGATAATTATCAGACGCCTAACTAAGACTCGTGAACTGCAAACACGAGAGAACCAAGCTGGCTTCAGACCTGGTCGTGGCTGCATCGACCACATATTCACTATTCGTCAGGTTCTAGAACACAGGCATACTTATCGGCGTCCAACAATGATAGTTGTTCTTGACTTAAAAGCAGCATTTGACTCCGTAGACCGCGAGATTCTGTGGCAGTGTCTGTCATTGAAAGGCGTACCTCAGAAGTACATAAACCTTGTAAAGGCTCTTTACTCGAACGCTACTAGTCGAGTCAGAGCTTATGGCGAACTGTCATCTACTTTTGCAACCTCAAGTGGTGCCCGTCAAGGCTGTCCACTTTCTCCATTTCTGTTTAACTTCATCATAGACCTACTGATGGAAATAACATTCTCGTCGACTGAATTCTCGGGTATTGATCTCCTTCCAGGAGGTCCACTTATCGACTTAGAATACGAAGATGATATAGTCCTGTTTAGTGAAGACGCCGATAAAATGCAGAGTCTTTTGGTAGCACTAAGCAACAATGCCAGAATGATTGGAATGCGCTTCTCTCCCTCTAAATGCAAGTTGTTGCTTCAGGACTGGTCTGCGTAAACATCTAAACTGATGATAGGGAGTGAAGTAGTCGAACGCGTCAACAACTTCACTTTTCTTGGAAGTCTGATTGGCTCTAATGATCTGGTGTCTGACGAAATCTCAGCACGGATTCAGAAAGCTCGTTTGGCTTTTGCGAACTTACGTTACATATGATGAAGGCGAGATATTCTTCTATCAATGGAAGGACGAGTATACTACGCGGCAGTTCGTTCTGCTTTAATTTACGGCAGCGAATCATGGCCATTAAGAGTAGAAAATGCTCGTAAACTACTAGTATTTGACCACAGATGCCTTAGAAATATTGCTGGCATCTGCTGTGATCACCGGATAAGTAATAGTGAGGTTAGACGCAGGGTATTAGGGAATGATGTTAAATCAGTCGATGAGGTTGTGAATCTTCATCGTCTGAGATGGTTGGGCCACGTGGTACGTATGCCTGAACACTGATTACCACGAGTCGCAATGCTAACCGAAGTTGGAGATGGTTGGAAGAAAGTTAGGGGCGGCCAAACCAAAACGTGGCATCAGTGCTTGAAGTCACTAACTTCTAGTCTGAGCCGTGTTGGTAGATGTAGACTACTTGGTTGGGGTCCGCGTGACTATCGTAACGAATGGTTGGAGACTTATTGACATTGCTTAGAATCGATCACAATGGCGTCGGTGTGTACACTCCCTGTGTTCCCTTAAACTAAGAGGTTAAAATCGCTTCATATCTTTCTTTCTACGAACCAATTTTTTCTTCTTGTACTATATCCTTATTGGAATCTTTCTTTTATATATTACCACCTCTGAATTAACTACTTTTATGAATCCCGTGTTCATCGTGTTGTGCTAATGATGTATGGCAACTTGGACAGATGTATATATGTGCCTGATCCTACGTTGTATCTGACTGACTGAAATTATAGGTGCAAGCAAGAAATTCTACGATGAGGCTATGAATATCTGTTGTCATTGCTTTCCGACCGCATAAGAATGAACGCGAGTTATGGGTGTACTTCTTGCTACAAAAGCTGGAATATGCTAATTAGTAGCAACCTGAAGCCCATGTGCTTCATACTTCGGACATGCGACTGAGTACCAAGCTTAAAAACAACAGAGAAATTGATCTCAAACTGGTTTGTGTAACTGGACCATTTCCGAATGTAACGGGTTAATACATTATCCAGTTAAGATTGGTCAAAGACGAAGTTTTGGTAAGTTCGAGAACAATTTATGTTTGCAGTATTCCCAGCCTATACATCAGTAAGGCAATAAGTATCGTGTTGTTTGTAACTTTAAAAATGTCTAACATTATATTTTTCTATAACACTATCATCATAAACTACTTGTTTACTATGGTGTTCTCGGAAGTAAAACAGATAATCATGACTTACATTTCCACAGGACGATATTGGGACATCAGATTTAACTTCTTCCGCTGCTTCAATTTCAGCCAAGCCACATGTACAGTTTTTACAAGCCCGTTTCTTTTTTCCATCTGAATCAGTAGCAGGGTCTTTGCCACAGACAGCTAAAGGAGTTTTCAAATCTGATTTTTGTAAAAGTGCATTTGTATTTATAATGTTTCCATTGGCGTCAGATGTATTATCAACATTTTCCCAAGCCGCCTCGACATCACTGTTAGCCCACGGAAGTTTGACACTAGAACCCTGCGTATAATTGGACGGAACAGAGGCACTGAATATTAAGTGGTTTTCACATGACAACTGAAATGTGAATAAAAGATAAAAAAAGATTGAACATCTTTGTGTACAGATAAAAAGCAGTACCGCTGATATTCTCCAAATCTACCAAGTATTTGTACAGAATTCATTACAGTCACGTTGTTATAATTTCTCTTATTGCTCAGTATTTTTGAAAACCAATTCACTCGACAAGTCCCAGATCAGAACACGGTTGAACAGGAACAAAATTATATTCCAAATAACAAGGGTAGATGGAAGTAGGAAGTAATAAAAAAAAGTTAATACATTTAGTTTCTACATGAGAAGATTCAAGTCTTTTCCAAGTATCTGCTAGTGTTGATTGGATAAGAAAGAGCCAATCAGCGTGCACCAAAACAGTCATGCAAGGAACATGCCTTAATCCGGTCTATGTCCCGCTAACACAACAAATGCATTTTTTATCAGCAACAAGTAAACTGGCCACCTGAACAATAATATTACTTTAGTGCCACAAAATTAGTATGAGTTATTTGTTTAGAAATAGATGTAAAGAACACATCAATGTCTACGATGTGCATAGTTGATAAAAACAAATAATTAGGATATACAAGGATACCTCCTGGCCTATGTATATAATCAACTGACTGCAACTATAACATCGCAAAGAATGGGCATAACTGGAAACTGTGAGAAAGAATAAACTTTCGAATAGAATGACATTTATAGATGACTTTAGGTTACAAATAAGGATGAGCCAAGTAGTAAATTATATTCAGACCAAAAGGTACAAATGGTTTTGAGTGGTAAGAGCTGAAAATTTTCATACATATATATATATATATATATATATATATAGTCATTATTGACAACCACGACATACAATGAATTCATAGTATTCTGCATCTATATTTGTTCTGGCTCCATTTAAATTCATAAAGGGAACTAATTGCATGAAATATCTCACGTTTCACAGACGTTTCTCTTTGAGGATATTGTAATCAAATCGAAGTCAAATGATGACAAACCAGCCATTTATAATATCTATAAATACAGTCTTCTGGACAATGCGAGCAAAATTTAACCCGAACAGAAAAAATTATAAACTTATTGTTATAACATGTAGCCTGTGTGCCCTGTTAATGTATAACGTAATTATACCGCCAATTGAAGAGTAGTGAAATATCGATCGGACCAATGACACGTAAAACCCGATGCGAGCAGTCTAGAGTACTTATTATATTTTATTTGAACAGCTAAACATTGGTACAAGAGGGCACCAAATATATATGCGCCACAAAAAACAATGAGAATGGGAAGAGAAAAAAGGGAGGTAAGGAGCGTAAAAACAAAGAACAATAACGACCAGACTATTGTAAGGTAGTGTAATAATCATAATAATAATGGAGGAGACGAAAAGAACAACCAGAAGAAATCTTTCAGTTAAGGAAGATATAACCGCATTTTTATGAAGAAAGTAAAAAAACGTTACAGCAGGATCACCACTGGCTTCTATTGTGAGCTGTATCTGATAACGTCTCTAGCCACTGTGTAGCACCATCTCTCGGACCCCAGCCAGGGAGTCGTGAAGGACCAACACAAGCCAGTCCTTTGCAGCTTTCTTTCATGCCACGACACCATGTCATGCACTGACCACCTCTCCGCTTCTTCCAACCAGTCCCACAGTCGGCAAATAATGCACGACGTGGAATTCTCTGGGACGACATTCGGAGAACATGTCCAAGCCACCGAAGTCGGTGTTTCAAGATGGTGACACCAATTGAGTTATCATCTCTGTGCCCGAACACACGATGCCGAACCTCTGCATTACTGACATGGTGTTGCCACTGAATGTCAGCAATCCTTCGGATACAACGATGATCGAACACAGAGAGTCGTCTAACGTCCTCAACTCGGAGAGGCCAGGTTTCACAAGCATAGAGCAAAACTGCTCTCACCGACGCGTTGTAGATCCGACCTTTTACGGCCAGACTAACATCACGAAGGCGCCATAGATGGCCCAGATTGGCATAAGCCGCTCTGGCTTTCACTATTCGTGCATTGATCTCATCACTCACACCCCCACCAGCACTTATGCAGCTACCCAGATACACGAACTTCTCGACTACGTCTATCTGCTCACCTTCCAAGGTGAGTACAGGATTAGAATCCTGCCAGTCTTGTAGAAGTACTTTGCACTTCGAAGGTGCAAAGCACATACTGTACCTACGGAAACTGATTGCCAACTGGTTAAGTGCGGATTTCATGGCTTGAGCATTATCGCACAGTAAGACAATATCGTCCGCATACTCAAGGTCGAGAAGTCTTTCTCCAGGCAACAGATCCACACCACCATTACTTACATTCATCAGAGCTGTTTCCAGAATGTCATCGATGGCAAAGTTGAAGAGGAATGGTGAGATTGGGCAACCGTGCCTAACCCCACTGCTCGAATGGAACAACGGAGAGAGGTGGTTGTATGCCCTCACTCTGCCTGAGGTGTTTTTATATAGGGCTTTTAGGATGTTAATAAACTTCTCAGGCACACCCTTCTTCAATAGACAATCCCAGAGAACAGTCCTATCCAACGAATCGAAGGCAGCCCTGATGTCAAGAAACACTACGATTGTTGGCCTTTGAAAAGTATGGCGGTGTTCTAACATTTGGCGAAGGGTGATGATATGATCAATACATCCTCGACCAGAACGAAACCCAGCCTGCTCCTCGCGAGTCAATCTTTCTCGGGTTTTGAACAACCTACGAAGTATGACGGAAGCCAATAGATTGGACGCAATCGGAAGTAGACTTATCCCCCGATAGTTGTTACAGGAACGACGTGAACCCCTTTTAAAGATAGGGACAACTATCGACTCATTCCATGACGCTGGTACGCTCTCTAGTTCCCAAACCTTTGTAAACAACGTACCAGGTACGGCCGAGAGTGGGGAGAGTCCGCTCTCCCTCTCGAAATACTCTCACACGGCCACGCGTATACAGCATCTGCCAGGGAAGTCCTACTCATTGCCTTCTCGTGGCGGGGGTGTTGTTTACGAAAATGAGAGGACGAAAAGCGAATGTCCGGCGCATTAACCGGATTCCAAATCAATGGTACACATGGGCTCCAGTATCCTGAGTGAACAAATGGCGTATGAACCAATTGTTGGTCACCGGCTACGATGGGACTGCATCTCCTTACGATGCCCCACTGCCTTGTGGGTTAGACCCTTAGGTCAAAGGCTCGGGGAGTGGCCCCCTAAGATAACCACCTGCTTCGGTTTGGGCACCCGGGCAGTATCACAGCCCACACACAAATGATGAACTCTCTATGTCTATGGAAATTACTTTTGTCGCTTTGAAAAACAAACAATTGATTCAGATTATTATCATTACAACTATTGTCATTATTATTACTAATATTATTATTACTACTATTATTGTCATTATTGTTATTATTATCATTATTATTATTATTTTCCACATTATTCACCTTCTTTTATACTTATACAGCGGCTCGTCTTTGGTGGAATTCCGACTGTATCTAAACGTTCTCGAGTCACTGTCCGGTTGAAAATTGTATGTTACCACCGAATACGAGGACTGAAGCAGATTTTATGAAACCACGTGCACCATTCAAACTGGCTGCGTTCAACGTTCGCACATTTATGCAGGTCGGACAACAGATAGGGTTGGCTATGTCTTTGGAAAGTCTTAATATCGACTTTTGTTGTTTATCCGAGACTCGTATTCAAGACTCTGGTGAAGTACTACGCTTCAAAAAGCTTGTTTTACGTGCGTTCATCCGGGGGCCCTGTGGCATCTTAGTCTGGTCTTGCTGGCGTTGGTGTCGCACTAAGCGCTAGAGCTGAGGCAGCACTAACCGACTGGATCCCCGTTAACAGTCGGTTATGTGCTGTTAGATTAGGAAGTTCCATCAAAGTGAGAAGAAATCGGCGTGAGAAACGACGTCTTTTCGTCATCTCCGCCTATGCCCCGACAGATTGCAGCCCGGATGCAATCAAGGATGAGTTTTACCACCAGTTATCAGTTCTTCTCCAGAAAGTGCGTTCGACAGATATTGTAGTACTAGCCGGAGACTTGAATGCTCAGGTCGGGCGTCTAGGCACAGAAGAGAGTCGTTTAGGTGGCCGATGGGGACTTGTTGGTCGCAGGTCAGATAACGGGGACCGTCTACTGCAACTTTGCACAGACCACAACCTGTTTCTGGCTAGCACTAACTTTCGGCACAGTCATCGCCGATGTGCCACCTGGCGTCCTCCCTCTGCATCTCAAGCCTTGACTCAGATTGATCGCATCGCGATCAGCTACCGCTGGCGTGGTTGTGTACAAGACTGCCTCTCCTTTTGGAGTTTCTATCTGGACTCTGACCATGCCTTGGTCTGCGCCAATCTTGCCTTACTTTTCAGTGGACAACGAAGTGAACGCCATCAACGGATTGATGTTAGCAAGCTGGTTGCAACTTCTGTTGCAAGTAAGTATCGAACCGAGCTAGCCTCTAGGCTAGCTACCACTCCACCGAAAAGTATAGATGAGCATTGGTTGCAATTGCATGACGCCATGAAAATGGCGGGTACAGTCAGTTGTGGGTTCGCGAAACGTCCCGCTTTTAAGCACTGAGTTTCTGCAGGTTCCTTACAACTCATTGAAGCCCGTCGGTCTACTCCGGGTGACCGTGAGTTTGACCATAAATGAAGGATGTTGCCTAAGGAAATTGGGCAAAGCTTGCGTAAGGACCGAGGAGCCTGGTGGTCGATGCGTGCTAATGAGCTGGAAGCAGCAGCTGCATCTGGTAACTACCGGAAGCTCTTCCAACTCATCCGAGCCACTGGCAGCAAAAAGTCTGGTGTGAGTGAAACAATCTGCGAGGATGATGGGATGCCAATCACTAACATCCATCGACGTCTTGAACGATGGGCAGAATTTTTCGAAGTGCAGTTCAACTGGCCTGCTGCTCCGGCAACATCGGTCAGACTGTCCTGCCCTCCATGGCCGGTGACGACTGATCCACCAAATGAGGAGGAAGTCCGCAAGGAACTCCAACTCTTGAAGCGTTACAAATCACCTGGCCCAGATGACTTACCTCCGGCTCTTTTTAAAGATGGTGGTGACTTTTTGACTAAGGAATTGACGACGTTGTTTACAAAGGTTTGGGAACTAGAGAGTGTACCAACGTCATGGAATGAGTCGATAGTTGTCCCTATCTTTAAAAAGGTTTCACGTCGTTCTTGTAACAACTATCGGGGGATAAGTCTACTTCCGATTGCGTCCAATCTATTGGCTTCCGTCATACTTCGTAGGTTGTTCAAAACCCGAGAAAGATTGACTCGCGAGGAGCAGGCTGGGTTTCGTTCTGGTCGAGGATGTATTGATCATATCATCACCCTTCGCCAAATGTTAGAACACCGCCATACTTTTCAAAGGCCAACAATCGTAGTGTTTCTTGACATCAGGGCTGCCTTCGATTCGTTGGATAGGACTGTTCTCTGGGATTGTCTATTGAAGAAGGGTGTGCCTGAGAAGTTTATTAACATCCTAAAAGCCCTATATAAAAACACCTCAGGCAGAGTGAGGGCATACAACCACCTCTCTCCGTTGTTCCATTCGAGCAGTGGGGTTAGGCACGGTTGCCCAATCTCACCATTCCTCTTCAACTTTGCCATCGATGACATTCTGGAAACAGCTCTGATGAATGTAAGTAATGGTGGTGTGGATCTGTTGCCTGGAGAAAGACTTCTCGACCTTGAGTATGCGGACGATATTGTCTTACTGTGCGATAATGCTCAAGCCATGAAATCCGCACTTAACCAGTTGGCAATCAGTTTCCGTAGGTACAGTATGTGCTTTGCACCTTCGAAGTGCAAAGTACTTCTACAAGACTGGCAGGATTCTAATCCTGTACTCACCTTGGAAGGTGAGCAGATAGACGTAGTCGAGAAGTTCGTGTATCTGGGTAGCTGCATAAGTGCTGGTGGGGGTGTGAGTGATGAGATCAATGCACGAATAGTGAAAGCCAGAGCGGCTTATGCCAATCTGGGCCATCTATGGCGCCTTCGTGATGTTAGTCTGGCCGTAAAAGGTCGGATCTACAACGCGTCGGTGAGAGCAGTTTTGCTCTATGCTTGTGAAACCTGGCCTCTCCGAGTTGAGGACGTTAGACGACTCTCTGTGTTCGATCATCGTTGTATCCGAAGGATTGCTGACATTCAGTGGCAACACCATGTCAGTAATGCAGAGGTTCGGCATCGTGTGTTCGGGCACAGAGATGATAACTCAATTGGTGTCACCATCTTGAAACACCGACTTCGGTGGCTTGGACATGTTCTCCGAATGTCGTCCCAGAGAATTCCACGTCGTGCATTATTTGCCGACTGTGGGACTGGTTGGAAGAAGCGGAGAGGTGGTCAGTGCATGACATGGTGTCGTGGCATGAAAGAAAGCTGCAAAGGACTGGCTTGTGTTGGTCCTTCACGACTCCCTGGCTGGGGTCCGAGAGATGGTGCTACACAGTGGCTAGAGACGTTATCAGATACAGCTCACAATAGAAGCCAGTGGCGATCCTGCTGTAACCTTCTTTTACTTTCTTCATAAAAAGTGGTTGTCTCTCCTTCACCTGAAAGATTTCTTCTGATTGTACCTCTTCGTCATTACTCTCTTTTTCTTTTGCGTTCCTTAGTTTTTTTTCTTTTTTTTTCTTTTAACTTCTCTTCGAATTCCCATTGTTTTGTGTGGCGCATATATATTGGCGCTCTCTTGTACCAATATTTATGTGTTCAAATAAATAAATAAATAAATAAAAATGTAAACAACGTCGTCAATTCCTTAGTCAAAAAGTCACCACCATCTTTAAAAAGAGCCGGAGGTAAGTCATCTGGGCCAGGTGATTTGTAACGCTTCAAGAGTTGGAGTTCCTTGCGGACTTCCTCCTCATTTGGTGGATCAGTCGTCACCGGCCATGGAGGGCAGGACAGTCTGACCGATGTTGCCGGAGCAGCAGGCCAGTTGAACTGCACTTCGAAAAATTCTGCCCATCGTTCAAGACGTCGATGGATGTTAGTGATTGGCATCCCATCATCCTCGCAGATTGTTTCACTCACACCAGACTTTTTGCTGCCAGTGGCTCGGATGAGTTGGAAGAGCTTCCGGTAGTTACCAGATGCAGCTGCTGCTTCCAGCTCATTAGCACGCATCGACCACCAGGCTCCTCGGTCCTTACGCAAGCTTTGCCCAATTTCCTTAGGCAACATCCTTCATTTATGGTCAAACTCACGGTCACCCGGAGTAGACCGACGGGCTTCAATGAGTTGTAAGGAACCTGCAGAAACTCAGTGCTTAAAAGCGGGACGTTTCGCGAACCCACAACTGACTGTACCCGCCATTTTCATGGCGTCATGCAATTGCAACCAATGCTCATCTATACTTTTCGGTGGAGTGGTAGCTAGCCTAGAGGCTAGCTCGGTTCGATACTTACTTGCAACAGAAGTTGCAACCAGCTTGCTAACATCAATCCGTTGATGGCGTTCACTTCGTTGTCCACTGAAAAGTAAGGCAAGATTGGCGCAGACCAAGGCATGGTCAGAGTCCAGATAGAAACTCCAAAAGGAGAGGCAGTCTTGTACACAACCACGCCAGCGGTAGCTGATCGCGATGCGATCAATCTGAGTCAAGGCTTGAGATGCAGAGGGAGGACGCCAGGTGGCACATCGGCGATGACTGTGCCGAAAGTTAGTGCTAGCCAGAAACAGGTTGTGGTCTGTGCAAAGTTGCAGTAGACGGTCCCCGTTATCTGACCTGCGACCAACAAGTCCCCATCGGCCACCTAAACGACTCTCTTCTGTGCCTAGACGCCCGACCTGAGCATTCAAGTCTCCGGCTAGTACTATAATATCTGTCGAACGCACTTTCTGGAGAAGAACTGATAACTGGTGGTAAAACTCATCCTTGATTGCATCCGGGCTGCAATCTGTCGGGGCATAGGCGGAGATGACGAAAAGACGTCGTTTCTCACGCCGATTTCTTCTCACTTTGATGGAACTTCCTAATCTAACAGCACATAACCGACTGTTAACGGGGATCCAGTCGGTTAGTGCTGCCTCAGCTCTAGCGCTTAGTGCGACACCAACGCCAGCAAAACCAGACTAAGATGCCACAGGGCCCCCGGATGAACGCACGTAAAACAAGCTTTTTGAAGCGTAGTACTTCACCAGAGTCTTGAATACGAGTCTCGGATAAACAACAAAAGTCGATATTAAGACTTTCCAAAGACATAGCCAACCCTATCTGTTGTCCGACCTGCATAAGTGTGCGAACGTTGAACGCAGCCAGTTTGAATGGTGCACGTGGTTTCAGAAAGACCGTTTCAGTATTCGTATTTGGTGGTAGCATACAATTTCCAACCAGGCAGTGACTCCAGAACGTTTAGATAGAACAGAGTTTCCACCATAAGCGAGCTGCTGTATAAGTCGAAAAATAATGATACATAAGGCGGGAATAAAAGAGAGTGAATAAATGACGTAGTAAATAATAATGTGAATTGGTTGGTTATTAATCAAAGCGCGAAGACAATTTTCTGCAAATATCGTCAATTCCATTTTGTTTGTGTGTGGGTTTTGATACTGCTCGGGTTCCCTGACCGAAGCAGGTGGTTTTCTTAGAGGGCCACTCCCCGAGCCTTCGACCTAAATGTCTAACCCACAAGGCAATGGAGCATCGTGAGGAGATGCAGCCCCTAGTAGCCGGTGACCAACAATTGGTTCATACGCCATTTGTTCACTCAGGATGCTGGAGCCCATGTGCACCATTAGTTTGGTATCCGGCTAAAGCGCCGGACATTCGCTTTTCATCCTCTCACTTTCGTAAACAACACCCTCGTCACGAGAAGGCAGTGAGTAGGAGTTCCCTGGCAGATGCTGTATACGCGTGGCCGTGTGAGAGCATTTCAAAAGGTAAGTTGGGCCCACCATACTCTCTGCCATACTACGGCATTTCGGGGCTCTAGAGTATTTATCGGCCCTACTCCGTGCCTAGCCCAGCCAGTTCAGTCCAGAACATCAATGTCAACCTCTGCGATATGAATAACTTATTTCAAGCATACTCGGTTTATATACCAGCCAGATAGACCACATCGTACCAATAAAATAGGAAACAACATTTATACAAGATTTGGCCAAATATATCTGTGAATGTGAGAGGTAGTAATTAATTGATAGGGCATAATTCAAGAATGGTAAATCGTATAATAATAGTTCATATGTCAAAATAAAGCTCGTAATAAGAGGGGCATGAATATGTATAGTTTAGCTAATTAACAATTATACGATAAAAAATATGCGCATAGTATTGGTCCATAAATGGATCACAAAAGTTACCATTCATTATGCTTATCGGGACACAACACTTATATGGAGCTACTGGTCACTACAATTCTTTATTTACTATTCGACTTCAATAATCACTTATGATACACTAAATGAGATACACATATGCGTGAAAATATTTACGACCTAAAAAATAGGCTTGATTTACTGCTGCTTTACTTGAAACAAAAACTGAAAATGTACGATTTTGTAAAATAAAAAAAGGCTATAACACATAATTCTGTAGCTATTACTTTGCATACTATAAAAATCATACCTGGTAAGGATTTATGTACCCAGAAAGAGTTAGGTTCTTTTTCAAAGAATCCCAGTCACCCGTAATTAGGTCACGACCAAAAAATCGCCCACCAGGTCGCAAACAGGATAAAAGGTTTGATAGCAAGCCAAGTTTGAGTATGTTTACGCCTATCGAGTTAGGCCAACCACATAGTATGACAGAAAAATCGTGAAACTGACTATCTACAGTTGAAATGTCCATGAATTTCTCCAGATTTTCGAACTGCAGCTTCTTAACATATGTAGAAACAGCCACTTGTAGACCACGCATAACGTCTTCTTGAACTTCGCCCGACCATACAATCATCACACAGTCATCACTCTTAAGACAATCAGCTACACATTGTTCCATGATGACACCTGAGTAAAAGTCATGACGTATGTAAGTTTATTTTGACAAAATATATTTGCGTTTTGAAATAAAGTTTAGATAAACAAACTAAATATCAATTCTGTTTTAGTGCACAAATGGAACGAACAGAAAGTGGAAGTATAGATACATTTCCCTGACATAAGTGGTGGGATACAGTCTACATGACGATTAAGATGTGCACTTCTTGAAAAAAAAAGTGTGAAATTCAAATACTTGCACACTTTCAAATAATTAAACTACAACGTTGCAGTAAATAACCAACAACCGCCAGGCAACATTTGACGTGCTTCAATGGCTTAAATCGAAGGCCATGAGCAAAGGTTCTTTGAGAAAGTCACCTGTTGGGATCTGTATATCCATGAGGCTTCAGAAATCACCATGATTCAATTATATTAGACGGTTGTGTTCGAAAGATATGAAAACAAATTTGTTTCATTTCACTTTGATGTCCTACTTTTTTATTGTACGTTTTCTTATAATAATCTGAATCTTTAACCTAATTACTGTTAAAAGTTATGCGCTGTCGCTAAACAAACCTGACACAACTAGGAAACCATGTGTGCTATTTTAGCTCGTTACCGTCAGCACTCACTGACTGGTGCAGATCGAACAACTGACAGCTTTAATTGTCACTGAAGCCCCAACATTGACGTATGCTGTGTAACTGAGACTAATATTCAAGGTTCTAGTGGAGTATTACGAATGCGCTCGATTGAAAACGCTTAACGTATGCTTTATCGAGAAACTCCATAGAGTCGGCGCTCTGGACAGATTCGGTGTGACACTAAGAGCTAGAGGAAAGACAACAATAATTTTTTTCGTTTTTTAGGTTAGAAGATTACATTAAAGAGATTGGAAACTAACATGGGGAACGATGTGTTGAGGATGTGGAATCTGAACATATACTCAGTTCGAATATCCTATTTATTTTTTTATTGACAATATGAATCGACAAACTTAATGTATTTTGCTCACTCATATTGGGTCAAAATCAAAAAGCATCATTTGTAAAGCCGGTGTTTTTACTCTGGCTAGGGGATAGGAAGAAGTGGAAAGAACGGATTCCTTCACGATACTGAAGTCGACATAGCGATTCATTAGTAAAGCGTACAAACGTATCACCATGTGACTTTATAGTCTTCGCCTATAATTCGATGGATACTAGTTCAGGTGTTATAAAAATGAATTTCCAGAAAAGCGCGTTCGACATTGTTGTGAGAAATGCGTTTAGAAACAAACAAGAACGTTTCTGTGTCCAATGGAGACTCGTTGGTCCAAAGCTAAGTAATGGGACCATTTTCCGGAACTTTTTACATAGAATAACCTGCTTCTGTGCATCATCTTTCCCAGTCCGTCTACAACGCAAGGATGGACTGGAATCGACTATATTATCACCATTTGTTCATTGTCAGATCTGAAAAAAAGACTACCGCTCCACTTAAGGTAAGTACCTAGATTCCGCACATCTGTAGGCATGCTTCAAACTTCTGATTGTTTTGGTCGCTAAGAAATATATTGTCTTTTAAATCCCAAGTGTCAAAACTAGCTACTTTTAGAACCAACTATTAACTTATCACGTCGTGTAAATCTGCACTGACTAAACTCACAAATCCTCCCAGGTTGAACTTCAGTTAGCAATTTATAGTAATAAAATAATAATCTTATTTCATTATCAGCAATTAGCGTTCATAAGTACACCTAGTATCTTCGCAATGCAAAGTAGTTCTTCAAGAATGGTAGTGGCTTGCAAGGATGTAATGTTTTATATAAATAAATAACAATTCTGAGTATTTACTTGGCTTTTGTAGTAAACTGTTGAGTTCTTGTGCTGGAGCAGCTGTACAAGTACTGGTTGTGTTGTGGCATATGAGATTAATCCACCTAATATAAACCCCAAAACGGTTTATCGCACCTTTGACGTCATAATATTAGTCAGGATGGAATAGGTCAGGTGGAAGTAATCCCACGCAATATCTGTGAAATTCGACCATTTCTGGGATATTTGGTGACTGTGTTCGAGCTTCATTATCTACGAAAGACTGCTCTAGCGATTGAATCGTGTTCTTAGTGCCGAAATTTCACAAGATTTTTAAGGGCTGTGGTGATAATTTAACTGACACCGACTTTGGTAGCTGCGATATTCTGCGAAACTTATTCTAGAAAATTTCAAACTGGCCATTACTTGCTAACACTAGGACTGGATGGAAAAAACAGAGTGGTAGTATTTATTGCTGACGAGTGAAAACTGACCAACTGAAGCTTTAAGTAGTATAAAAGCAGAGAAGAAAGTGTGAAATTATCAACCCTCTTAAAATCAGATATCTCCGAAAATTTAATCATTTCTATTGACAAATTAAAGATGTGCTATCTAGACACGTCCATGATTCCTAAAAGAACATTTCAGATACCATATTAGTAAAACTGATTTTTCGGTTTTGCATCGCTGACTTCGTCCGGTCGTGCACGTGTGAACTGGAGAAACTAAGATCTGCACACATTTACTGCGGGTCATACATTGTTCACCTGTTAGGAAATTGAGATATGCACATTTGAATGTCAAAATGTAAAATCATTCTAACACCGTTTCTTCGACAACTAAATTATATTGGGTTTACATTTTGTTTAGGTCACATTGAAGATCCTACGCACACCCCAAATGTAGAGTCGGACACTAGAATTGACAAACAACAACGCACTCATCAGTATATCATATTAATCAACCAGCGTCCAGTCACTCACCTGACTGACCATTGCTTCGCACCAAAATAGCAACGCAAAGAATCCACTACAATCAGTCAGTCAGCTACAACGTTGCCCGACCGACGGAGGGGCTCGATAGAAGACTGTCGCTCATTCTGGAGCACATGCTTAGATTCAGATCATGCTCTAGTGCGAGCGCGTATTTGCCTGCGTCTTACTGGACGTAAGAAAGACGCTGCAAGGAAGCCTCTTAGGGCCCTACTTAATGATAGTCAAACTAAGAGTATATTTCAGGGACAACTAGGAAACCAGTTAGGCAGCCATGTAGATGATGCCCACCCCGAGGCAGCATGGAATGATATCCGAAAAGCTGTGGAAACAGCAGTGATATCTGCTAGTAAGGTAAACCATAAGGTTAAGGAGAAACGCTATCTCAGCAGCATCTACCGCATTGATAGATGCTCGGAAACTCATTCCAACAGGCTCCGAACATTACGAAGAGCGGAGTCAGCTTAAGCGCAAGCTGACAAGAAGCCTACGCAATGATCGCGAACAGTGGTGGGTAGCGAAAGCAAGAGAAAAGGCAGCGGCAATAGGTAACAGCAGACAATTGTTCAGACTCGTTAGGGAAACTGGTATTAGGAATCCGACCGTTAGCGAAGCAATCTCAGAGAAGATGGATATATTATACATTCTCAATCTAGTAGACTGGATCGATGGGCAGAACACTTTAGGGATCAGTTCAACTGGCCTTCAGCCACATTTCGGTTTCCCACGATCTCCAGTCAACCTGAATGGCAAGTTAATTTAGGTCCTCCGACTCCTTATGAAGTTGAAAAAGCCATAGGAAATCTGAAGCGAGGGAGAGCAGCAGGCCCTGACAGGTTCACTCCTGAGATTTTTAGGGATGGCCGTCCAGTATTAGCAGTAAGATTAACTGAGGCCTTAAGTAGAATTTGGGAACTGGACGCAATCCCATCTGACTGGCCTCAATCACTGATTGTGCCAGTCTATAAGAAAGGACAAAAGTCCTCTTGTGACAATCACAGAGGAATCAGTTTGACTAATATAGTGTCTAAAATATTAGCTTCAATAATACTTCGACGCCTAACCAAAGCTCGTGAAGAACAGACTAGAGAAAATCAGGCTGGTTTTCGACCTGGACGTGGTTGTATAGACCAGATATTCACACTACGTCAGGTTCTAGGACAGACATTCGTTCAGACGCCCCACCATCGAAGTATTTCTCGACCTTAAGGCAGCATTCGACTCTGTTGATCGTGAGGTTCTATGGTAGTGTTTGTCATTGAAAGGAGTACCGAAGAAGTACATTAAACTTGTAAAGGCTCTCTACTCGAACACAACTGGTAGAGTGAGAGATTTTGGCGAACTGTCATCAGAATTGATTACCTCAAGTGATATTCGTCAGGGCTGCCCATTCTCTCCATTTTTGTTCAACTTTGTCGTCGACGTACTTTTAGAGATATTTTTATTTTTTATTTCAACACATAGATATTGGTACAAAGAGGCACCAAATACATATGCGCCACAAAAATCTCATTCGATATGTGTGAGGGCTGTGATACTGCTGGGGTTTCCTGACCGAAGCAGGTGGTTTTCTTAGAGGGCCACACCCCGAGCCTTCGACCTAAATGTCTAACCCACAAGGCAATGGAGCATCGTGAGGAGATGCAGTCCCCTAGTAGCCGGTGACCAAAAATTGGTTCATACGCCATTTGTTCACTCAGGATGCTGGAGCCCATGTGCACCATTAGTTTGGTATCCGGCTAAAGCGCCGGACATTCGCTTTTCATCCTCTCACTTTCGTAAACAACACCCTCGTCACGAGAAGGCAGTGAGTAGGAGTTCCCTGGCAGATGCTGTATACGCGTGGCCGTGTGAGAGCATTTCGAGAGGGAGAGCGGACTCTCCCCACTCTCGGCCGTACCAGGGCATTTGGGGGCTTTTCACTAATCGTGCATTGATCTCATCGCTCACACCCCCACCAGCACTTATGCAGCTACCTAGATACACGAACTTCTCAACTACTTCTATCTGCTCACTATCCAGGTTGAGTACAGGATTAGAATCCTGCCAGTCTTGTAGAAGTACTTTGCACTTCGAAGGTGCAAAGCACATACCATACCTACGGACACTGATTGCCAACTGATTAAGTGCGGATTGCATGGCAACTTGAACTGATGTACATACGTACGGAGTTCTACGTTGTTACTGACTGACTACAACGTAGGACCAGGCACACATATGCACCGGTCCAAGTTGTCATACCTCGTTAACACGACAAAATGAACACCAAATTCATAGAAGTAATCAATTTCATGGTAGCAATATATAAAAGAAAGATCGCATATCGGGATATGATACAGGAAGAAAGGATTAGTTCGTAGAAAGATATAAGGCAATTTTAATCTCAAGGAAAAAGGGAAAACAAAGAGTGTATACACCCAGTGTCCAGCCATTGATTACGATAGTCACGTGGACCCTAACCAAGTAGTCTACATCTACCAACACGGCTCAGACTAGAAGTTAGTGACTTCAAGCACTGATGTCACGTTTTGGTTTGGCCGCCCCTAACTTTCTTCCAACCATCTCCAACTTCGGTTAGCATTGCGACTCGTGGTAATCAGTGTTCAGGCATACGTACCACGTGGCCCAACCATCTCAGACGATGAAGATTCACAACCTCATCGACTGATTTAACATCATTCCCTAATACCCTGCGTCTAACCTCACTATTACTTACCCGGTGATCACAGCAGATGCCAGCAATATTTCTAAGGCATCTGTGGTCAAATACTAGTAGTTTACGAGCATTTTCTACTCTTAATGGCCATGATTCGCTGCCGTAAATTAAAGCAGAACGAACTGCCGCGTAGTATACTCGTCCTTCCATTGATAGAAGAATATCTCGCCTTCATCATATGTAACGTAAGTTCGCAAAAGCCAAACGAGCTTTCTGAATCCGTGCTGAGATTTCGTCAGACACCAGATCATTAGAGCCAATCAGACTTCCAAGAAAAGTGAAGTTGTTGACGCGTTCGACTACTTCACTCCCTATCATCAGTCCAGGTGTTGATGCACGTCAGTACTGAGTCTGACGAATAGTGAATATGGTCGATACAACCACGACCAGTCCTGAAACCAGCCTGATTTTCTCGTGTTTGCAATTCACAAGTAATTGCTAAGCGCCCGATAATTATTGAGGCTAGTATTTTAAATACTATACTAGTTAAACTAGTCTTTCTATAGTTATCACAGGATGATTTTAACCCTCTCTTATATATTGGGACAATCAGTGATTGTGACCAGCCAGATGGGATTACGTCTAACTCCCATACTTTAGCTAAACTATTAGTCAACCTAATCGCTACAATTGGACCAGTATTCTTAAAGACCTCTGGAGCCAATGCATCTGAACCAGACGCTCTTCCTCGTTCAGATTGGCTATAGCTTTTTGAACTTCAACTAGAGTCGAGAGACCTAGTTCAGTGTTCTATTCAGGCTGTTTTGGAATGGTGAACAGTTGTAGAGTAGCTGAAGGTCAGCTGAACTGCTCCTTAGTGTTTCGCCCATCGTTCTAAACGTCTGAGCTGAGAGCAGATAAGTATCGTCCTTTTCTGAGATCGTCTCACTTACAAATGAATTCTTAATTTCAGTTTCTTTTATTAGTCTGAAAAGCTGTTTTGGGTTACCTACAGCCGATGCCTTTTCTATTTCTTCTGCTTTCGTTGCCCAATCACTGCTGACGATCGTTCTGTAGACTTTTGGTTAACCTAGATCTGATTTGATTTTGCTCGTCATCATGTTCGGAGCATCATGAGAAAAGTTTACGAGAGTCTATCGGTGCAATAGATGTCGCAAAATGTAATTGGTTTTTCTTGACATTTTTTGGAAGTAGCGATCAAATATAAAAATAAAGCTTTGACGCATTTTAAGTTCTAGAACCAACCACCACAAACTGTTTTGTCCGGATTATTACGAAAAATTTCTAACCATAGACACCAACTTGCTTTAATGTAATGAAAGCTGATAGAAAGATCTCATCAACTTTGCCCAAGCAGAGACTTTGCGGAGTATTTAATCCTTAAAACGTACTACCGGAATATGTCCACAACTGAAGTCATATCATTCAGGAACAGCTTAGACGCTCGCGGAAGCTTACCAATAAACCACCAACACAGACCACTAACTATATGTACTGACGGAAAATATTTTAATCTTAATCAGTGCGAACTGGAGATGAATACTCCAACAGACTACAATTATCTATGATTATAAAACCAGGCACATAGGAAGCGAAACGAAAGTCAAGGTGACCAACAAAACAGAATTTGATGAGACTCACAAGACACGCAACCTACAAATCAACCACGAGCTTCAGGAGCAACTTCAGATGTTCAATATCTCTAGTCTTCAGTTGTAAGGATCGGAAGTCTATCGACTTATATGAATCCTTGAAATTAGTGCCGCCGTAAAGATTTAATCCTTTTTTAGATGTTTTAAATTGAGGTCATGATGTTACGTATTGTGGTAGGGAATTCCATTATTCATCAGTAAAGGGTTATGGAAATTATTAAGTTTTTGATTGAGATCATGAACTGATTGATGTTAGACCCCCATCGGAAACTTGAAAGTACTGGACGGCCGTTTCCTCCTATTGTGGGATACCTCAGCATTGTACATCCACGACCCCGTGCACAGGATTCGAACCCAGTCAAAAACTTAATAATCTCCACAACACTATACTTATAATTACCATGTGCTCAAATGGTTCAAATGGTTGTGGACGGAACAGAAGAAGCTTTCGCTTAACAGGCTTCCGTGTCTAGTAGCAAGGGATCACCAAATACTCCAGGCAGGAACCTAGGTATGTCAACAACAACAGAGGAAAAAAAATTAGTAAATCATAGTGTGATACTATCCTTAGTCCTTGAGAATGGATCAAGTTGCCTCTTAATGGACTCCTGGGAAGTTGCTTGGACTAGCTCGCTCGGCAGCGAATTCCAGCATTTGGCAACTCTTAAGGAGTAGAAGTTGCTCACTAGTGACTAGCTTCGTGAGATAATTCACGGAGTTCTGGTGAGAAGCCGTGACTAGTGGGGTTAATCTGTGTCGAGTAGAGACAGGTGTCTACCTCAGTACAATAAAAGATGGTCTCACAATTTCGTGGATTGGTTGAGGTTAGACACTAAACCGTTGGATGCCGACTCAGTGATCCAGAGGCTTAGTGCTCGCGCGCGAGACTGAAGGCCTTGAGTTCGAATCACGCAAGCGGGATCGTGGGTGCGCACTGCTGAGGAGTCACACAATGGGACGAAACGGCCGCTCAGTTCCTCCAGGTTTTCAATGCTGGTTTGAAATCAATCACTTCATTATTTCAATCAACAAATTCCATTAATCTATCACGCGGTGTGGGAATCTGTGCTCCGGACGTAAACGATTTTATCCAAGTTTTTAAATTCAGAATTTCATCTCATTCGATCAGTCATAGAAGGAAAGAAGAGACAAGACACAATAATACCAAAACCATCACTGAATATACGGTAAGTCAATAATCGATCACTCGTTGGTGACCCTTTAATCTAACACCATGTGAACCGTATGAATGATTGGTTATTATTGGAATACACATGCCAGCTATCCTCGTGTATAATTACTGACCTGATCTGCGTTACTGAATAACTGAGTTAAGTAACCCGAATACGAGAATGGAATTTATATATGTTTATATCATACACTCAGTGATCTCAACAGGATATCAGGGAGACGAAACAAAGAGGCCAGAGCATAACATATTGGAGAACATAAGATAGACACCTCGATTTATTCATGTGTCAACCAATATTTATAAATATGATCTACAGACATGTGATGAGTAGGATGAGATGTGCACACACATATACTCATCCCAAAACAGTCAGGATAATTAAGCCAATAAGTGACAAGGTCTAAATATGGTTTAGAAAGCGAGTAGATTGACTTGTCCGGAAGCTAGAATAAACTACGATGGCGTAACATAGCACTCGACGTTACGCTAACCCTCATAAATCCGTAGCGTGATGTAGGATAACAAAAATAAGTCGAGGCGTCTCATTCTATCTTTATAAGATATGCCAGAGATATATCAAACCACTTAAGCCTCTCGCTGGTGAACTCGTTCCATCACATCCGCTTCAAAATTGAACTAACAACTAGCTGCTCGAATCCTATGACTTATTATTGCTAAAGCTAAATAATAATAACCACCCACACATTCAATAGACCGGTGCGTTTAGGTTATATTGTAGAACTCGTCCAAGTCACTACGTAGTACGATTATACAAGGGAAATTAGTCAAGTTCATCGACCACTTTACTTACATATGATACTCATTAACTATGGTGAACCGACGAGGTTTCTTTGCGAGTGAAAAAACTTCTGCCTGTTACTAATGTATACCGACTCTAGCTTATAAAGACTAGTAAACTAAACAGTCTCCTATACATTATTCGTGACTCTGAAACAGTCTTTGTAAGCAGAATTAAATGTATAAGTTGCAAGTGTTTTCAAAGTACTGCTTGTGTATGGTAACAACGCATGGTATTTAGATGGAGAAATATACATTTCAAATATGCTTTTATTGTTGCTAAAGGTGGTCAGTCGAACTTCTATAAACCCAACAGTTGAAAAGGCAATTCGAGAACCTTTAAGTTCTCATGTGTGCTTTGATGGTTTTTATTTTTGCTGTGCAAGATAGATTTTTTGTTTAACATTAAAATGTTTCAAAACATGATAACCGACATGATAAATGACATTTCATCTATCGCAGTGATCCACTGACTGAATCCATGACTCCCGACACTGCAAGAAGAATGAATCTAGAACATGTGGAAAATATTATGTTGGCAAAAATATGTGGGGATGTGAATTGAAAACCAGGGTCATGGTGAGGCAGTAACTCCAGGACCTAGCATTAGCGTTTGCCAATTCAAGCTACTACAACTCATAATCGCAAAGAAAAGGGGATTAACTAGACGGGAATCAAACATGAGAAAACTACCAAACGAGTCAAGGGTCTGAATTTGTAGCAAACACAGTTGCTTCTAGTTAGTTTGGAGGCAAGCCTTATCAAACGCGTTCTTCTGCATATATTGCACCATTGTAACAGCCATTGAACAAAATGTTGAGACCCAAAACAAAGTAATTATTCTGACTGCAGTTTCACTACGCATCAAATCGTACTGCGTCTTCACTAGAGAATGTAGGTATTGTTTGAGACACGGTAGTTTGAAGGACAGTATTATTTCATGAACTTCAACATGATTTCGCCATCGAAATAATAAGATACAATAAAATGTAGTAAAAAGACTTTGGTGATATCGAGCTGGAAAACCTGAATTATATGTTTAAAAGCAGACAGTAGTTAAATTTTTCTAGCCCTATTAACATAAACTAGTTCCTAGCGTCTTAAAATCCTTCTTAATTGTATTACAATCAATTATGCTATCAATTCATTTTTTCGAATCTCTTCTAACTCAGTAGTTTTAGTTTTAACTGAGATTTATCTATTTCTTTCTGAATTATTAGCATCTTCTTATTATGTAGTTGCTTATTGTTAATCCCTTAATTTATTATCACTATCAATATTTTAGAGTTTCTAACTGGAAATGGTATACATTCGCAATATTTTTATTTATTCTGTTAATTCAACTACATCTCTGCTGTACTATGCTGGTATGTGTCCACAACACCTCTCAATGAAATTCATTTGTCTAAGTGCTTCTAATCCACCTTGTAATTCTGACTTTTAAATACCACAGATTGTAAACAGGTAACAAGAACCTGACGAAACACAAAACGCACACATGTTAATTAGCTCAGGATCCCGTTCTTCTACTAAAAATACATTCGTTAGAACTGGAGTTTCTTATTGTACAGGTTTCTTACCATATAAGTGAGAATAACGATCAGATAAATTAGTTAATACTTCATGTCGTAGTGGCTTAGGTTAGCTGTTACTTTACATATTTCTTTTTGAAGCCTAATATTTCACCACGTGTGACATTGTCGCCCTACTTTCTCATGTCTTTTATTCCATTTTTCCACTTTAATTTTTTCCTCAGTTCTCTTCTTCTCTGCTATCTAAAACAGGAGCAATATTATTTAAACATTATGAGACCCTCTGTGCGATTAACACCCATTAGCAGCATTGTAGCGGTGTACTTATTAGCATGTTAGGACGTCACATTAAATCTATCTTGCTTGAAAGTATGACGTATCTTCTCTAAAATTTGTGACTCCTTGACCATGAAGCATCAACTTGTGGGTCTAATTGATGAAGATTTAGCAATGTATGTTTTTGAACAAATCGGCTGATATAATATAATGTCAACTCATTCGCCAGGCACTTAGGTATGAGCCACACTGTAAATGTGAGGGCTGATAATACTACCTGGCCGCCAGAACGTAAATAGGTCAGAAACTTTCTGTAATAGTTTAACAGCGTCATCGTTAGAACTTCCCTCTATCGTTATGAAACTGTAATTACTAGCTAAAACGGTCTTGCTTAAATATTACTAATGTATGTGAGACAATGATGACATATCAAGGAAGCTCGAATCCGACATGTTACCGTAAACTGGATACATGTCTTTAAGGTGAAAACATCAGAGAAAAAACACTAGGGCCACGGATTTGTTTAGTAATTTATTTTCACTTCAGATGGCAAAAGCCACCAAACTGGCGATTGACAGTTCGGAAACACTCATTTTATTTGTTCCAGCGTGTTATACAGCCATAACTGGGTGTCAGGTTTACACTCTCTGGGGATATCATCGAAAGAAATATTCACAAGCGTAGAGTTTGCTAAGGTTTGGAGAGTGAAATTGTATTTGATGGTCTTTATTCATTAAGCTCAGTAGATTTGAAATTTCAATCATCCATTCTCTCTGAAGATCTTGCAAAGATTCTTTAATGACGTGAGAGAAAAATTGAATAGCCGTTATTCCAGAAGGAAAGGACATGTACTTAACAACCTGCGAATCTGACTGCTATCAGGATTTTCTAACAGTAGCGATTTGTTTTACCAAACACAAAAGTAAGTCTCATCCAATGTTTGTACGTATTATCGGTAAATAATTTAAGGGGAACCCAGGAATAACTAATAATTCTTATTCCATTTTATAATTCAATCGATCACTGCCAATATTTTTGTAGGTCGTGGTTTAAATCTTCGAAATTAAGTGACTTATTACACACAAATCAACCTCCTAAATTAGTTGAACTGCTTGGAAGTTAACCTTCGTGTGAAAGTAATAGCGAACACAGATACTTAGGACAAAAGTGGGCTACTTTTGTTGAGATCAAAATTTTGAAACAAGGCTTATCAAGAGAGAGATTTAAGAAAAAATTCGCAATCTCCCTGTGACAGACGAAAGAGGCAACATTCTGATGCATTTCCGCCAAGAATTCCGTCAAGTTTCCTCAAAGAATACCCGCCTCGATTTCACCATTGTTGTTCGCCTGGCTTGATTTT